TGGCTGAGGTGCCGGCTGGGAACTTGCAGGCCACAATTTCCACACACACACACACACACACACACACACACACACACACACCATTAACATGCAATGCTTCTGCCTGCTGCAGATACTGGCAGCAGCTGCTCAGTTTTAAATGTAACCTAGGCAACTGACAAGTCTTTGGTTTGTGAAGGAAAAGGGTGCCTCTGAGCATGTCCAACCTGTGAGAGGGAAATGTTTCCTGAAATAAAAAAGTGTCCCTGTGTGTGTAGGATAGTGGTTTCCAAAGGGCTTTTTTTTGGGGGGGGGAGTATTACAAGAGGCTGATAAGGATTAGGAAGCAAGGAGAAGAGACTTTTCACAAACTGGTAATCGGGCATCGGCATGATTTCTCCTTACTGGTAAATATTTAGCCAGGAGAGTTTTTGATGATCTCTTTTGTTAGACTCAGCTTGCTTCTTTCACAGCCTAGAACAGCCCATGTGACAAGTTAACTTTCTGGATTTTGCATCAGTAAAAGTGATTACCGGCCTTTTGATCACCGCCTGATGCAGGAAATCAACTGATGGTCACATAGATCTAGAAGCCTTCCACTTTTGTCCCGAACCAGCCAGAAAATGGGTTGTGGACAGCCGGGCTCTTTATTCTGATCCATGCAACAAAAATGCACAAGAGAGAGATTTAAGACAGGCATTTTTCTGAGACACTCCCACCCCCCCCCCAGTGTTTCAGAAAAGGGGGGGCTACAACTCAGTGATTTCTCTGGAAGCAGGCCAGTCCGCCGCCCAAAGAAAGACGAGAGTAGGAAGCTGAGGGCGCTCCCTTCCCGGTTTGCCCAGCCTGTTCTCCAGAAGCAGCCATTTTGTGACTGCACGCTTTGCCAAATTCCAGATGGGCCTCCCAGTCACGTCCATGAAGTGGCACCAGGCACCTGCACGCTGGTGCTGCGAGGGCCTTCCTGCAAAACCAGCCTCTCGGTTTGCCTGAAGAAGCACCGAAAGCGCACCGGCCCCAGCGGGGCTGGGATGAAGTTTCTGGCAGAGTCTCAGCCTCCAGGCCTTTGAAGGGAAGCCCTGCAAAATGCCTTCTCGTGTGCAGGCCTGCATAGTTGGCTGATCATGTACAACCACAACCTGTCCCATCCTGCTCAGGCAAGTGTTCCCTTTTGGACTGTGGACAAGGAAACGGCAGCAGCAGCGGCAGCAGCAGGGACCTATGCCTCAATTTGCAGCGCTTTGAAAACGTAGAGCAGATCTGGGCCGTGTGAGGGGAAGGGCCATCAGCTGCCCTGGCTCGAAGGCGGGGGAGAAAAGATCTCCTGAGCAGCAGCCGTTGGCAGTTGAAGCAGGGCCTGGCCGATCTTTATCGCTGACCAGATATCAGAAAGAAAGCATTTGCTCACACTTGCATTGTGATAAGAAATATTCCTCTCTCTCTCTCCCTCTCTCATCCATGAGAAGTAGGATCAAATCGGCCAGTATATTCCAGCTCAGCTGTTTTACCTAAAAATTGGTTTTGCAAGCCTCGCCCTCCATTGTGATGCTGAAATGCCCCCCTCTGCAGTTTTTGAAAGGTACAGCCGCTGCCCGCCTCCTGTGCCAGATGTCCTGGCATTCTAGCTCAGGCGCGCAAGGGGTGAGACTCCAGCCTGATGCCCTGTTCGAAGGCTGCTGGTTAATCATTGTTCACAGTTGAATGGCTGCTCCTAGGCCTGAATGTGCTGACTCCCTGCTTACATTTTAACCGTGTCCTGCTGCATTTCTTGGAGGCTTGCGGTAAAGGAGATGAGTAAGAGAGCAGCTTTTGTGGCGCTAGGAGAAGGGGGAGGAGGAAGACCTGCTGTTTGCCTCCTGGGTGTGGCAGACATCACTGCCCTGCACGCTTCCCATCACCACCAGGCAGTGCTCCTGGCGCTGGCCTGGAACCCAGATGGGTTGGGGATGTATTCAGCAGGCAGGGAGCCTTCGGGGGTGATGTCCTAGGCCAGGGGTAGTCAACCTTGGCTCTTTTATGACTTGTGGACTTCAACACCCAGAATTCCTGAACCAGCCATGCTGACTCAGGAATTCTGGGAGTTGAAGTCCACGAGTCACAAAAGAGCCAAGGTTCCCTACCCCTGGCCTAGGCGGAGCTTCTCAACCTCACCAACTTTAAGATGTGTTGAACTTCAACTCCCAGAATTCAACTGTGCTGGCTGGGGGTTCTGGGAGTTGGTCCACACATCTGAGGTTGAGAAACATTATGGTAGGGGGCTCCTCCTGGGGGTCTTTGCTTTGATGACCTCTGGCCTTTCTCCCCTTGAAATGAGCGCTCTGGCATTTTGGTCTCTCACTACCCGGCAATCTGTGGGTGCCAAACGGTCAGTCCCAAATGTTTAAACTTTAGCTTCGTCATTACAATTTCTCCTGAGCACACTGGATGTTCTTCACCAGTATTTTCACCAATAAACTGTTGGATTCTTGGGGTTCAAGGGATTATTGGGAATATTTTATCGAGAGCCCCTGTCCAAAGTCATCAATTCTTCATTCAGGTTTTCTGAAGGTCCAACTTCACGGCCATACGGGATGTTACAACTGAGAAAATTGTAGTTTTGATAATACGTATCAATATTGCCAGCCTAATATTTCTGCACTTTAATGGTTTGTCTGGATTTGTGGTATTCTTCTTCCTAAGCTGCAGAAATAGCTGTATTTCATGGTGACGATTTCCATCCCTGTGATTATTATTTTTTTGAGCCTCGGAAGATAAATCCGTTGCCATTCCAGCTTCCTCCCCACCTGTTTATTCTGGGTTAGCTCTGTTTGCAGACATAATCTTCATTTTTTTAAATATTGAGCTTTCAACTACCCACATAGTATTGTTTGAAGTTGTGTTGGGAAACTGCCAGCTAGGCTGAAAGGAGGAGTCAGTCAAGCGAGGGCCTGCTTTGGAGGCCTTGCACAGCCAGAAGCAGTGTGAGGCTGACCTGCTTGACCCAGATCCATGACGCCGCCTCTGGCGGGTTGCAGGAGATCCTTCTAACCTGGGTGGCAGACAATAAAGTCATCTCTGGTTTTCATTATTCACAAGTGACTCTGGCTGATTGCGTCTGACGAGTTGTTAGTGTTCCTCCCAGGAATTTTAATTCCAGTGTCTTCTGGCCCAGGATTTTTCTTGCTATATTCTGCACCTAAATTGAATAAATAAGGGGACCATGTGCAGCCCTCCTTTCATTGCTCCATGTTCCGTTTTAGGAGTGGTGGGAGTAAGGGGGACAGGACTCAAGGCCTTGTTTCCAGCCCCTTACTCTCTCTCTCTCTTGCTGCAACTGAAAATATTACTGTATAAGGAGAAATGCTGCTTTTTCCTCCAGTCCTCTGAGGGAATGAATGAAGGGAAAAGTTTATGTTCCTCTGTGACCAACCTTGTTCCTGTCCAAACCACTTTCTCTCACATCATAGAACAGAGAAGAACAGAGTTGGAAGGGACCTTGGAGGTCTTCTAGTCCAACCCCCTGCTCAAGCAGGAGTCCCTACACCTTTCAGGCAAATGGCTGCCCAGTCTCTTCTTGAAAACCTCCAGTGATGGAGCACCTGCAATTTCTGGAGGGAAGCTGTTCCACCGACTGATTGTTCCCACTCTCTTTAAATAACCTTAAAGCAGCCAGTGGAAGAGCTGGTTGTAAGCCCCACGTGCCCCTCCCCCCTTTCAAACACCCCCCCCCCCCGCAGTTCTGCCTTCTGAGCCTGAGTGATGTGAAGAAGGGCGATCCTGAGTGGGACCCCCGCTCTTTCCGGGGTTTGCTGAGAAGGCAGTTGGGATCTGGCTGTGAAGTGGGGGGGGGGGCTGACTAGAGGCTGAAGAGGGAGTTTTCACAAGCGTGGCCTGGGCCCCTTGAAATGTACAATGGCAAACAAGAGACTTTGGGGTGGAGTTGATAATTTGTTTTATGCCCCACTTTTCCAGCGGCCAGAGCGGCATTTATTTATTTCATTTATCACATTTTGAAACTGCCTATCTCTCTCACAGAGGGACTCTGGGCAGGGTACCAGTAAAATATTAAACATAAGAGCAGCTATAAAATTTAAGAAGCAGCAAAGGTGATTAAATGGAAAGGCGGGAGGAGGACTTTCAGGGCGCTAATCAGCCCTTCATGTAGTTTTCTTCCCCTTTTTATTATCACACCCTTGAAGATAGGTTGGGAGAGATTGCCAAGCATCCAAATTTGGATGACATGACCACAGGCATGTTGCAATGGTCATAAATGCGAGGACTGGTTTTAAGTCACTTTTTCCAGTGCACCACAGGATGAGTGGCTGTAAATCGAGGACTATCTGTATTGGGACAAGCTGTTCATCCGAATACAGCAGTTCCGGTTTCTTAGTACAGCATGTTGTGTGAACGTGGCCATGTAATGCTGGCTGCCTGGTGGTCCAAGAGCGGAGAAGCCCCTCCGTTTTTGGCACCTTTGAATTGGCAGGTCACATACCGGCTGGTGGGAAGCAGCTCATCCGACAATATTGGCCTTGACGCTAATCAAGCGGCTCTCTTAATTTTAATACGGGCTTTGTTTGCAGGGTTCCCCAACACGCTCGACTAGATTCCTCCAGTAGCCCATTTCCTGTCTTTCCGCGCCAATTAGTCCAAAAGGAAAGACGAGCCTAACCAAGATGAGCAGGTTGGGCAAAAGCCACCGCCAGGGGGGGGGGACACGCTAGTATACAGCCGCATCTCGGTCGCAGCCGGGCCGAGCGGAGGGTCGCAGCGCAGCCGGGGAGCTCCGTGGGCGCGTCGGGAGGCGGCGCTGGGTAGGGAGGCGGGCGCCGGGCGGGGGGTGTGCGAAGCCCCTCCCCCCGTTGTCCCGGCGCTGACCTCGAGGACGGCGACCCCCCCCGTGCGGCTGGCCCCTCCTCCTCGTGCCCGGGGAGGGAGGGAGGGAGGGAGGGCGGCGGCGGCGGCGGGGGGGCCAGGAGAAGGAGGCGAGCCGGAGCAGCCGCTTTGCGCTCCCGCCGGCCGGAGCGGGCCGGAGCGGCGGGATGGTGGTCTTGCTCGGGAGGAACCTCCCTTCGCTGCTGGCGCTCTTCAAGAAGAAGGGTGAGCCGGTCGCCTCCGCTGCCGCATCCCGCGCCCCACCGCTCCCTCCCCGGCAGCCGCTTCGGCGGAGCCGCCCGGCGAGGGAAGCGGGCGCGTCCAGTCGCTGCCCGGAGGGGGGGGGGCAGCACGCCGTGCAGTGGGGGGGGCTGCGCGTGAGAGGATCGGGCGCAGCGGGGCTGCGCCGCGCTTGGGGTCCTTGGGGTCTTCTCTCCCCCCCTCCCCGCCATCCTCGCCCGCCGCCCCATTGTTGCCCGGAGGCCTCCCCGGCGCGGAGGTTTCTGGCGGCGGGCGGGGCGGGGCGCGGGCGGGGCGAGGCGAGGCGAGGAGGGCGGCCTTGGGGCGTGGGCTCCCCCCCCCCAGGCTCTTCCAGCCCCGGCTTTGCCTCTCCGCCACGGACCGGCCCTCCCCGCTTGCTGGAGGCCAGGATGGGCCGGGCATTTTTCGCGCGTGGGGTGGGGGGAGAGCCCGGTTTTCCCCCGCCCGCTCCCTCCTTGGTCGGGGAGGGCGGCGAAGGCCTGGCCGTCCAGCGTTGCTCCTGCGCTCTCGGGCCCCCTCCGAGCCGCGGAAGCGAGCCCGGGGCAGGCGCCGAGTGGGCGCCCTGGAGCTTCGGGGAGAGGCTGCCCTGGAGGGGGGCGCCGACCTCTGGAGGGAGAAGCTCCGGCGGGCCTGGGGCTGCCCAGCCTCTCCCTGGCTCGACGATGGCGGGGCGCTGGCTGCGGTCAGGCGCCTGGGTGCCTCTGGCCCCTCCGGGAGTTCCTCGGCGAGAGACGCGGCAGCCCAGCCAGCCTCTTGGGAAGCCCCCGGGGGGCCCCGCAGCGGGAGAAGCTGGCCGGGCAGGGTTTGTCCCCCTTCGTGGCTGAAAGATGCGTGGACTTCAACTCCCAGGGTTCCCTTGCCATCTTTGCTACTTGGGGAACTCTGGGAGATGAAGTCCACACACCTTTAAGTTGCTGTGATTGGAGATGGAGGATTAATCTGGATTCCCAGTGATTTTGTGGATACATAAACATAGTTTGTTTGACAATCATAGTTTTAATGACAGCGACGGTGGTTTCCCATTGCCGCCGTTTGAGATCTTTATAACTTTGCAAGTCTGGGGATTTTGGGTGGCTTGAGCTTTTCAAGGTCAGCCATACTCAGCTGGGTAGGAGTATAGAACTGGTGAAGCTTCTTGGATGAGAAGCTATGAGAAGCTCTTCAAGCAAAAAACAAAAAAAAGTCCAGTTGCCTTTTGAAAAAGAAAAAGCACCTTTGAGACTCAGCCGGGTGCTTTTATTTCACAAGTAGGCAACCTTTTGAGTCCCTAAAAAAATAATTTTTGTGTTAATTGTGAGGGTTACTGTGCATTGCAGTGCACACAGTTGTAGCATTGTTAATCATAATTCTTTTTAGTTTTTCAGAATTTTATTAATGTATTGTAACTAAATATATTGTGCAGTTTTTTTTAAAAAAAATTAAAAATCATTGTAAAACTTTTAAACATAATTTAAATATCAGGAACATATTTAGTAAAAAAAATAAGATTGTAAACTATAATTATAAACTGCCATGCATTCTATTAATAGTACTAGAAGACTCTTGATTTTAAAAATCTTATAAATTTGAAATATTAAAATATAGAACATAGACGATATTTATGTACACATTAAAATGTACATAAAGTGAAACCAAAATTTTGGAGGTGATATAAATCCATATATGAAACTGTAACCTGGAAACATTTTGCAAATTCAGTTAAATTCTGTGTCGGATTTACTTTTAAGATATAAGATACTATTTTAGACATCCAACCGTGCAGAACTCCTACAGTCAGCTCTTAATAAGTTGTTTCAGTAGTCAGCGCCACATCATCCTTAAAGAAGTTGTAGTTAATTGTACAGTTTTTCATTCCATAATTAGTTAAATATAGCTCCATGCATTTATGTATTGAAAGAAGTATGAAGAAAAAAAATGTTTTATTTAACATGTTTGTTAACTGCCCTAGTCGTGTAATTCTGAGATTATACGTGGCTATGAAAAAACAAAAATGTATCCCCCCACTAGATAAAAGAAGCATGCCCCCCTCCAGCATTCAAATAGAGGTGGATGCCTGATGAAATCAGACCAATAAAAAAATCATATGAGAAGGGGGTCCTGTCGGTTGGGCAGCTGGGGGGTAGGACATTGCATAAGATCCAGGTCCCATGAATTTCACAAGCAGCCCTTCTCAAAATAACAGAAGGATGGGTAGAGTGGACTTCTCAAGGCAGTGCCAGATGGGCTTCGGTGTTGTGGTAACTGGAACTCTGAGTTGGGCCTGAGAAGAACCTACTGCATGGACTTCAAAATTAGCCAGGGAGGGGCTGCTCCTAGCAGACATTCCACTGGGTGCTGGACCAGGTGAAGACCCAGTTGGGTCCAAAGGTTGCCAATGCAGACTGGTTGCAGTGGTCCAAGTGGTGGCACCTGGGTGCCGCCCACGCCCTGGGATGCGATTCCCTGGGTGGGACAGGGGCTCTTCCTGTTGCTGCTCCCTGGGAACTTGTAGCCAGAAAGAGCACAGCCACCTTTTGCTACCTGATTGCCGCCCTCCAAGGACTGATGCCTTGGCTAATGTCCCACTGCCAAACCGGAGGACACAACTCCCATCGTTGGGGGCCACCCAACTGGGGCAGGCAGGGAGGCAGGATATGGTGTGAACTGCAACATTGCAAAACACATGTATCTACTTGTGTCCAAGCAGGATATTAAGTACCAAAGGTGGCATTGCGTCATCACATCGTGATGCATCCTTTGTTTGTACCAAGTGCCTGTGGGTGATGTGAATTGTAGTCCAATCCATCTGAGGGGTTCCAGGTTGGAAGAGGCTGAATAATACGTTATAAAGTTAAATCCTATACCTAAAATAGTGCCGTTTTGTCTTCTGTGAAGGATGAGGGTCCCTCTAATGCCCAAATTGCCTTGACTTCCAGAGGCAGAAGGAGGGCGGGGGTGGGGGAGGCTTGCTTGCTCTGCTTGGCTTCAGGCTATTTTATCCTGGGAAGAAGGAGAAAGGGGCAAGGATGCTCAGGAAGGGAGATTCCATCAGTATTGATTTTGTAAAAGGAGAAGCAGATTGTGGAGAGGGAAGAGGAGAGTGATGGAAACCAAGTAAATGCCAAGTCAGCCCCTTCAGCCTGGGGGAAGATGCCGACCTTCCTGTCACTCCTGGAGTTCAGACAGGCAGGATGGTGCTGATCTTCTGGTTTCATCCACATTATGGCTTTAAACGGTTCTTGTTGGTGGCTGCCATCTAAATCTAGCTTGCTTTTAGGGAAAAGGCACACAAACAGATGCAGCCCAAGAAGTGCATGATTTCTGGGCGTTGCAATTGATGCTCTCATCCTCAAGACACTTAAGTGGTCTTAATTGCTAGCCTTGCAAGTGTTCGCATGAACAGGACTGTGGAGCCGCTTTTCCTTGCTCTGGTTCAGAAGCACTCGACCTTATATAGGTAGTCCTCAAGTTACAACCACAGTTGGGGCTAGTCGCTAGTGTTTCCATTGCTAAGCAAGTAAGCGAGTCACACCCAATTTTACAACCCTTTTGCTATGGCTGTTAAGTGAATCATTGCAATTGTTAAGTGAATCACGTGGTCGCTAAGTGAATCGGGCTCCCCCCATTGACTTGGCTTGTCAGAAGCTGGCTGGGAAGGTCACAAATGGTGATCACCTGATCCTGGGATGCTGCAACCATCATAAATACATGCCGGTTGCTCAGTGGGCAAATTTTGATCACCTTACCATGGGGATGCTGCAACGGTCATAAGTGCGAGGACTTACATCATTTAAGTCATTTTCCCCCAGAACATCAAATGAGCGCTAGACAGAGGGCTGCAGGCGGCGGACCCCTGCCCTGCCAGAGACTGAGTGCTTGCCTGGGGGCCAGACTTACCCAGGGGGAAGACCTGAGATTTGAACTTTGGCCTCTCCAGCTGAACAGCTGGGAGAACCAGGTTAAGAGACTCCCTTCTCTGAGGGGCTGAGGGGTCAGAGCAGGTGATGCTGGTCGGGGGGTCCAACCGTTTGTCTGTGTCCTTCGTTGCCTTTGGACCCGCAGCAGATTGCTCCAATTTGCCCCCAGAATTCCCAGACTTCGGGAGCTCTTTGCAAAGCCATGATTGGTTGTGCCTGGGAGACGGGGGTGGGGAGTGAGGGGGGCACGGCCCGCTTTGGTCCATGGGGTTGCGAGGAACCGGACACAAGACTGAACAACGGCAACTACAAAGATGGTCCCAGTCTGCTTTTCCATGGCACAGCCAACACCCAGGTTTAAGCTCCAGCCTTGTCATCAACTCCAGGGGAGATGATGAGAGGTTTGTAAAATCTCACCCCAGACAAGGTGATCAATTGTCTAAGCACTCCTCAAAGATCAGATTAAAAAGGAGGTTGTGTTTTTAAATAGCACCCAAACAACTATTAAGAGCTCGGTGGGTGGCAAAAACAGTCTGGTAATTCCTTGGAGGGCTGGGTGTGTGATGGCACAGCGCCTGGATACCACAGGGTGAAAAGGGATTTCTTGGGCTTCAAGGCAGCCCATTGTTTCACACAGTGACTCTTCTCCTTCGGGTTTCTTTCCATGTTAGCTGGATTGCTAGTCTTTATTTTGGACCCTTGAGCTGGGAACCCAACTGACGCAAACAGGGTGACACCCTCAATATAAAATGGACTGATCGGTCTTGTGCAGATGATGGGGGAGCGCAGTCTGGGTTTTGGCTCCCTCCCCAGGTGTTTTATTTGATTGCATCAAAGCAAGTAACAAAAAATATGCAGACATAAATATTTTTAGCATTGTAGTATCAAATTTGATTTGTTTTTGTTTTTGCAAGAAAAGAGGCATAGAAAATAATGTAGAAAGGGAAACAATCCCAGAGAGAGGATATGCAATCAAAACACTGCTTGCTTGTGCTTTCATGAAAAGAAAAGCTAACTTGGATCTTGATAAACAATGTACATCAACCATCTCCCGCTGCAGATCAGATACAGATTCATGTATTATGTAATAATTTATATAGCCAGACCCTGGGGGGGGGGGGGGCTGCTGCTTTCTGCCATGCATTGTGTCAGCGGTTGCTCACTGCTTTATTTTTAGAGGTGCCTCCAGCTGTGGAGTCAGTAGATCAACCACAGTCCTGACTTCACTAAGTGGTGCATTGTTTGTTTGTGTCAGAAGCATCACAATTAAAATAAGGCATAGTATATGACATAAAATTTAAAATGTAAAATACAAGATTAAAATATGTACAAATTAAGCAGATCTTGCCCAGAAACTAGCAACATTAATTGTGTCCTGTTGTGCTGCCAGGAGGTCCTCAAGCGTACATAGATCAGGATACAAAAGGCAGATATACACACGTGTTGTGGTCTGCATGTCACCACAATTGCAAAGAGCACAAGCCACCAGGTAGCCCCATTTGTTCAGGGTGTCTCTGGGTCTGTTGTTTCCGTGCACAGTTTGTTCAATGATTTCCATACTTCCCAGATTTGGTCAGACCCAGGTGCCAGCTCCTCCGTTGGTTCCATCCAGTGTTGGTTCTTTGTAGCTTTCTACAGGTCGTCTCTGCTTCCAAAGTCTTCTGTCGATCTAAAGAAGCTTTTTCCTGGATTTTATTCTCTGCTGAGCTGGCTGTAGGCCGTAGAGAGGGCGTTGTCTAAATATTGATGACTGGAGGCTCTCTGTATGCTGCTGCTTCTCAGCAAACAACAGGCAGGGCAATGCCGGCTAGGTGGTAGATCTTATCTGGAGGGGAAGGTTTAAGGCATCTGGTAATAATTCTGCTAGCTTCATTCAGGCCAACATGTACTTTCCCAGCATGTGCTGATTTATACCAGACTGGGCAGGCACATTTGCCTGCTGAGTAGCAAAGAGCTAGAGCTGTTGCCACAAGAACTGCTGGTTTGGAAACCCAGGTAGAGCTGGTTAATTTCCTGAGGATGTTCTATAGTCCACTGACCTTCAGTTTGCTACAGTGCTGCTTATATGTTAGGGCCCTATCCAGAGTGACCCCTGAATATTTAGGCCTGTGACAAAGTGATGCATTTATATCTCTAGATCCCGCCGGGAGAAATGGCTTAAATAAACAGCCGAATGGCTAGGCAGTTGTTGGCTTGTGCCGGACCCAAATCGAGAGGGTGTCTTTGGACACGGTCACCTTGCTGTGCTAGAAGTGAGTTTGTCCACAGCTCAAGCACCGGTGGGAGAGCAATGCTGGTGCTCAGAATTTGGGGCTGCTCAGCCCAGTTAAAGGTCGAGTGCCCCGATTTAGGCTTAGTTTTAACACCGGCCTTTCGTAGCTTGGCATGTTGCGTGAGGCTTGCTCGTTTGATTAGGTTAGGACTAATGTATGGTGTAGGTGTGGCGGATATATTAACTCAGTAACCAGAGTGAGTGTGCTGTGTGGCTCCCAACTACCAAATGCCCATTTCAGCGTTCAGCATTCCCAGGAAAAACTCCCCAATGAAATCCTGTCTGGATGGTGGGGCAGTCTCGGCCAATGATTGACATTGGAACCAGTGGTTTCTGTTTCAAAATGAAGCCGTGCAAGTAAAACTGACCCAATTTTGCTCAGACTCGCCTTCTGCCCCCACACTATTCCCCCCCCTTCTGTTTTGGGAGTGGCTGAGTTCTGTGATTGATAAATCCACAATAAAAAAAAGTGCTGCCCTTTAAGCTGGATTGCCAGGTTGGTTGGTGTGTGCCAGGTGCTGCAATAGTTGTGGTATCAGTCATGTGATTCTGCCCTGGGCACTTTCACCTCTTCCTTGCACAGACTTTAAAAATGTCGGCTTTGAATGGGAACAGCCTAAGCTTGTCGGTCGCTGAGGGGTGGAAGGGAAGGAGAAGGGGGCCTTTGAAGCGAGGCAGGGGATGGTCCTGGGTTTGGGGCTTGTTCTCCTAAAGGAGGCAGGCTGGTTGGGAGACCTCTGCTTGACTGGGACGCTCACTGGCTGCCCAGTCTAGAACAGCATTTCCCAACCTCAGCAACTGCAACTTAAACGTTTTGTGGGCTTCAACTCCCAGAATTCCCCAGGCAGCATACACTATGTGGGCTTCAGCTCCCAGTATACTAGGGCAGGGGTCCCCAACCCCCAGTCCGTGGACCAGTACCGGGCTGCGGCATGCCAGCAACTCCCCCAACCCTGCCTGGCCCCCACAGGCATCCCCCCCATAAGCAACATCGAGGTGGCCACGCCCACCCTGGCGACACCCACCCAGTCTGCCGGGACTACCGCAGGCACACCACCCAGTGGGCCACACACACACACCGCCCCCCTGAGGGCACCACAATGCTGATGCGGCCCTGGCACTTAGCAACAAATAACTGGGTTTTGGGTTGTGGTTCGGGCACTCGGTATCTAAAAGGTTCGCCATCACTGTCCTAGATGGACAGAAATAAACCACAATAAATCTATGAAAAACAAGTCCAACTGTATTAAGAGCCTATTCTTGTGCAACATAAGCCTTGCTCGATTTAACCAAAATTCTTTTGGGTGGAGTTGTAAAGCTTTTGCTGCATAATTCAATACTGCTGTAAGCCCCCTTCTGACAGTTGATAGGATCCACCATAATTAAAATCTGTCGTAACAGATGCATTCTCAAACATTAAAAGACATTAAGCCACACAGTTGAGGACTGGCAGTTGTTGATTACTGTGAACTGGTGATAGTATTAAGATTAGGACAGCCTTTGTGGACCATTATACAGCCCAGCCCTGCCCAGTTGCATCTCCAGAGATGTTGGGTCATAATAATGGCACATCTGGAAGACACCAACGTAAGGAAAATGATTGCCTCGCGGTTAATAACAGTTCATGTCCCTTGCCTTGTCAATGATGGCTGTTAGTCCTGGTTTACAAAAGGGCAACTGAGCTGGAGAGGAAACGCCCCGTCCTTCTCCCCAGGATGAATGCAGCATCAGCAGTAACTGATGCCTGGTGATAATCCCTGAGTGAAAGCAAAGGGGCTCTTCCTAAAAGAATTGGACCGTTCCTCGGCCTAGGAGGGGTTTTTGTAGGGAAGAGCACTTGCAGTTCAGGGCCTCCCCCCCCCGCCAGAAATTGGGCAGCCCTTGATGGGAAGGACCTTCCCTTCTGCCCCTGTGCGGAGCTGCTGCCTGCCCAGATCAGGAAAGGGCTGTGAATCTTTTCTGCCTTCCATTTGCTGCTGCTGCTGTGTGTGTGCGTGCAGGGGGGGGGGGGGAGAAATGGACCCTCATTTGCCTGCTCAGTCTGAGGTCTCTTCTTCCCCCTCTGTGTTCCCAGGTGCTGCTGCCCAGGCGGTGAACGAGGAGAAGCGGTTGAACGTCCAGTACAAGGCTGTAGGAGACCAGCCGGACAATGTGTTCTTCCCCAACAGCCGCCCCCAACATCTGGAGGAGCTGCACATCCAGGCGCAGGCGGGACTCAAGTCCTTGCAGAATCTAGGTAGTGATGGGAAGAAATGCATGATCCACTTCCTTCACAACACAGTTACTTTAGGTTTAGTGGGAATACCCAGTTCTCTGAGTGTTGTGTGCACAAACACACACACACACACACGCTTTAGGTGAAACATTTATCTGTTGGTTCCGCCCTCAACGGAGACCAAGCAAGCAGAATCCTCTGCAGCTGCGCAGAGCGGCTGGGCGAGTGGCAGAGGCACAGCGGAGTCCAGGGCTGGTGGGCCCGACTCTTTAAAGAGCCAGCAACCTCCGGCATCTTCATGCTGCCCCCCAGTGCAGCTTCTGATCACCAGTGGTTGGGGGCTTACAGCTCAAGGGAGCTTCTAGTGTCACCATTTCTGCCATCAGACTCCCCGGATCATGGTCTGGGGGCCTCTGGGCCTTCTCTAGCTGATCGATGGCTGTGTCTGTCCTGTTGCATTTCAGAGAAACAGAAGAAGACCAGGAAGATCTGGGACCACAGCGAGACCAGCAGTATCCAGGTAAGTCGTCTGCCGGCCTCCCGGCCCCCACGTCCTCTCGCTATACTGCGCACACCCTGTGCAGCAGCAGCAGCAACTGTGCCCTTATTGGGCTCTCCCAGGTTTTGCTGGACTACAGCTGCCCTCCTAGGGCGCCCCCATTCTTTGGGCCTAGCGCAGGGGTAGTCAACCTTGGCTCTTTTATGACTCGTGGACTTCAACTCCCAGAATTCCTGAGCCAGCTGTGCTGGCTCAGGAATTCTGGGAGTTGAAGTCCACGAGTCATAAAAGAGCCAAGGTTGACTACCGCTGGCCTAGCGTGTCCTGCAAACACAGCCGCTTGGGAAGGCAGCTGGGGAGTTCTTGTCTGCCCCCTGATGTCAGCCTTGCCTGGCTGACAAGGGGGGTGGCAGGGCACGGGGCTTAGGACATGCTCTGTCCCACCGAAGCCACCCAAACCCTTTGGGGGGGGGTATCTTCCCCTCCCTGCTGCATCTCTGGGAATGTTTGCCTTGCCTTTAGCCAGCTGTACTTTGTCCCTGCGGGGCTCCCCACGGCCTCCCTTGGCTGCTTGCCAGAAGTCAGTTGCTCCCACCCTCTTCCAGGCGCCTCTGTTGGGAAGGTGTTAAAACTCCAAGAAATGTTAAATTTGCTTTGTTTGTCTATTTTTTTCTTTTATTAACCTGTGCACAAAACACTTAAGTAACAATACAACGGAGGCCTTAATGCTATGTAATTAGCCCAAGACCAAAACCTTGATTATGTATCAAATACCTTGATGCAATCAGCAGTGTTTTTTTCCCCCTAATGTACAGTAATATCACATTCTGGATGAAAACACCAAATAATCATACTCTCAGTAACACCAACATCCAAAATTGTAATTAATATAGATGTAATACTTCTTTCTTTCTCCTCCATAGTCTAAGTTACCCCAAACATTCTCGAAGCTAATAATCTTCAATTAATGTTTTATAAATATAATTGCATCAAAATAAAATAATATATTAAGATTTACAGCAATGTAAGAAAAAATGGTGGGGGGAGAGGAAAAGAAGCCCTCCAAGGTTCTGGGGCCTCCTGGAAGAGGAATGGCATGTTAGCATGTCTCTGAATAAGGGGAGACGCTGATGATGGTGCTTAAAACTGTGAGCAGATAAGGAGCCTGAAACGTCTCTGGATAAGGACAAGGCGGGAGATCACCCACTTGTGCTCTTGTTTTTCTTTGAAGACATTTCCAAGAAGCTTCTTCAGCTCTGACTGGATGGTGGGGAATAGAAGGATTTATACTCCTTGTGGGCAGCTGGTCATTTGCCTTCTTTCAAAGAAAAACAAGGAAGTCCAGTTGCCTGGTGAAAAAGCATCTTTGCGACAACTGTGACCGGGATGACTGAGGCGTCTGCCCTAGACGTCTGGTGGGCAAATGAAATGCTTCTGCCTGGGGCTGGGACTTGCTTCCTCACATAATTCTTTATTTCATGAAGGCAAGAAAGGAGAGGAGCAGCTGGTGTGCAAATTTTGTCCTGCTTTTCAGGTGCCAAGATTCTTGCTCTCAGAAAGATTCACTGGTGGAGGATAAGTTCTCACTGTTTAGGAAACCTTGGCATCTTTAAGTGGTGTAGACTTCAACTCCCAGAATCCCCTGCCTGGCCTGCTATTGGACTTTAAGGCTGGGGAATTTTGGGAGTTGAAGTCTACCCAATTTAAAGATGTCAGGGTTGGGAAACACTGCCTTAAGACCTGCTCTTCATGGATTCTCAACACCAATTTCCATTTTCAAACTGACAGAAGACATTTTACTATGGATTTCTATCAATGTTTTTTCAATTTTTGATCGGAGTGTTTGTAAACCATCTTTATTTTCAATTTGATTTTAAAATTATTTTCTCGCTTTCTTTGATTATATTTGTATACGTAATGCAGTTAAAAAAACAAACAAACAACGTTCACTTTTTTGTCCTCCCTTTTGACAAGCAGTCTTCCCAGTCCACTGAGGGCGATGATATTTCCATCCGAAGCCAAGCCTCCTCGTGTGCCACAGAAGATGCCTCCGAAGACGCCATGTCTGTCCGCTCCGAGATGATCCAGAGAAAAGGTACCACCCAGCAGAACCGTCCTGGGGCAGGGAAGAAGGCTCTGGGCTCCAATGGGTCATCTCCTGAACCAGAGAGACCAGGGTAGTTTGCCCTCTGGAAGACGGAAAGGGCCAGCGGGAAGCTCAGTTGTAGCAGCCTCTCCGTCACAGCCTGCGGGGGGTGGAAGTTGCCCCCGGAAGAGGGATGGAAGGAACTGGGGCCTTTAACTCCATGAGAGGAAAGAGGACACCATGTGGGGGAATGTTGGGGCCAAGAGAGGCTGCCTAGGAACGGTCAGCTAAGAGAGGGCATAGCCTGCCTGCAGCTACACAATGGGCGAGAAAGATGCTCCAAAGGGGGCCGAAAAGGAGATTCCTGGGCTGTAAAGCGGATGGCAGGAGAACCGCACTTCTAGACTTGCTTTACAGGAAAGTAGAATGAGCGTATCTGGTCATGTGTCCTGTCTGGTCTGTCTGGGCAGGCTGACATCAATCTTGCAAACCACCATCTTCCCAAAAAGAGCAACTAAGATGATTAAAGGCCTAGAGACTAAAACATATGAAGAATAGTTGCAGGAATTAAGTTTGGCTAGTCTAGAGAAAAGAAGGACTGTGGGTGGGGGTAGACATGATAGCGGTCTTCCAATATTTGAAAGGCTGCCACGAGGAGGAGGGTGTGGATTTATTCTCCAAAGCGCCAGAAGGCCGGACAAGAACCAGGGGGTGGAAGCTCTTTAAAGAGAGAAGCAACCTGGAATTAAGGAGAAATTTCCTAACAGCGAGAACAATTAACCAATAGAATAGCTTGCCTCCTGGAATTGTGGGTGCTCCATCACTGGAGTTTTTCAAGAAGAGACTGGACAGGATGGTATAAGACATGGTAAGCCGGCCAGAATTTCCCTGTGGTAAAATGGGCGGCCAGTAAATGTAATAAATTAAGAAGGTCCCCTGCCTTGGACAGGGGCTTGGATGAGAAGACCTCCAAGGTCTCGTCCAGCCCCGTCAATCTATGATTCTATGAAATCACTTACAAGAGGAAAAAGTCTGAATTCTTTGCCCCTTTGGACCCAGGTTTTGCAACATTGGCCTTTTACTTTTAAGGAAAATAAGCGTGGAACGCATCTATTTAGTTTAATTTTATATGTTGGCACAAATACTCTTGGGGGGGGGAACTGCCAATCAATGCTGAGGCTTTGCTGCTGAAGTTTGGTGACCGTTTTCCTTTCCTTTTGCTTGCTTCCCTCCATTTCTCCTCACTCCTGGCCACTTCCAGGCTCCACCTTCCGACCACACGATTCCTTTCCAAAATCATCTGGGAAGGGAGAAAAGCGGCGGAGAGACCGGAGGACCACAGTCCTGGGGCTGCCCCAACACGTGCAGCAGGAGCTGGGTAAGCTGGTGGCCAGGCACGAACCGGGCAGGGGGAGGGGGGGAGAGACGGAGGGCAGTGCTGGGGGTGGTTGGAGAGAGCCTGGAGAAGGAGACGCCCCGAATGCTCTCAGCGCGCTCAGGCACAGGAACAGCAGAGGCCGTGGAAGAGGGATCCAGGGACCCGAATGGGGAAGGGATCTGCCCCCCCCCCGAGTCCCAGGGGAGCCGGCATTGCAACAGAGCACTTGGGGTGGGGGATGGCATTGCAGCTAGTCCTCAATTTAGGGCCATAATGGAGCCTGCCTATTACAGGCCTGTCATGACATAAAGCAGGTTGCCAACGGGACTGACCTTTTTTGTGGTTCTCGTTATGCAAACCAATAGTTCACTATGGGGCAGTTTTGCTGAAAACCAGAAGTAAATGCCATTTTTGGCACAAACATCTTGAAACGCAAGTGACTACTGGATGATGCTAATGGCCATAAGTGCCTAGACCAGCTGTGATATTGGAACTGGTGTGGGTTCCTCCAGTGTTGAGCAAGAGGGGGCCAGCAGAGCATTTCTGGGATGGAGGTCCAGCCTTGGCCCAGTCATTCCTTCTTCAGTTCTGTCTTCGGTTGGTGCCCATTTATCTTTCTGCCCACAGGCCTGAGCAACGGGCGTGACTCCACGAAACGTCCTGGCAGCATTGCAGTCAGAGCTGGCCCGACACCGCAGCCACTGGTGAATGGCAGCCAGTTGCCCGGCCCTGCCATCCAGATCCCCACTGTCGATGGGAAGCCACTCACCACCGCCCTCCCCAAGGGGGGGGCCCGCGTCTCCCTCCAGACCCTGGAGGCCCGTTCCTCAGAGGCTGCCCTCCAGCAGCACATCAACCGCCTCTACTATGATGACTCGGTGCTGGGCCACAAAACGGCAGCCAAGCTGTCTCCTCTGGCCAGGCCCAAGTCCCTGGCTGTTCCCTGGATAACCACCCAGCCCAGTTCTCCTGAGCTGTTGAGCCCGGTCATGTCCATCTCGCCACAGGGCACCTACCTCTCCAAGATTATTCCCAATGCCATCATGCCGCCCATGGTGGATGTCATTGCTCTGTCCTGCAACCGGGTGCGCACCCTCAGCCGCTGCAGCCTGGCCACCGCCAGCCCAGCCCTCTCGTTGCGCTCCACGGGTCACTTCCCCGCCGCCCCCCGCAGCCGCGAGCACTCCTCCTCCAGCGACAACTGGAGCCACTCGCAGTCCACTGAGACCATCGTCTCCAATGCATCCACCATCTCCTCCCGTGGGGGCCCCAGCGGCCAGAAGGACGAGGCAGCGCCAAGCGGCAGGGACCCCCCTGCCAATTCCAGACCAGCCAGAGCTGCCCCGGCTTCTCCCAGCCTGCTGGGGGTGCGGCTAGCAGGGAGCAGCGGCCGAGCCTCGCCCACTTACAGCACCAGCAGCATAGCTGAGGGCTCAGACGATGCAAGTGTGCGCAGTGACCGCTCCTCGAGCCGTAGTGTCTCACTCCGGAAGATGAAGGCGGCCCCCTTGCCCCCCCGGAGGACCTACTCCTTGCACCAGAAGGCCCAGCAGCTGGAAGCTGAAGGGGCGCCCCGAGGAACGGGGCTGCCTCCCAAGCCGGAGCGGAGGCCCCACCGGGAAGGTGCCCAGCGCCCCAGCCTGGCCAACGAGGACGACGTCTTCTCCCCCGTCCACTTGGGTGGGACCAGCAGCCTGCAGTCCGGAAATCTGGCCTGCTCACCAGATCTCTCTGCCCGGAGCCCAGGGAGGGTCAGCCAGCTGCGGGAGACTGATGGGAGCGAGGCCCAGGAGCCCGGTTCTCCCCATCGCTTCGGCCGCACCATGTCTCCGTCGAGCGGCTACTCCAGCCAGAGCGGCACCCCCACCCTGCACCCCAAAAGCCCCCTCTCCCACGCCGTGTCCCCGGGGAAGAAGAGGCCGCAGCCGAAGAAGCCGGAGCGCATCTGCTCCCTACAGTCCCCAGGACCCTCGCTCTCCTCCTCCTCCCTGACCTCCCTCTCCTCCTTGGCCTCCGACCCTGCGCCCTCTGAAGGGACGGCCCCGCCCACCCCCGGCTCCCTCCTGGCCTCTCCTGGTGCCCCACGTTATATGGACCGCTTTGTGATCCCTCCCCATCCAAAAGTCCCTGCTCCCTTCTCCCCACCTCCCACCGAGCCAAAGAGCAAGGAAGGGATGGTGGCCGCTTTGCCCCCTGGCAGCCAAGCCCGCAAGCAGCCCAGCCCTCTCACCAAGGAGGGCTCACCCCCACCGTCCCCTCCACCAGCGTACCACCCCCCTCCGCCCCCTGTGAAGAAGGCCGAGCTGAGTCCTGAGGACCCTGGAGCTGCGCTGGTTCCCTCTGAGGCTGAGCTGGGGGCTTCCACAGACCCTTTATGGCTCCCTCCGCCCCCACCCCTGCTGGATGAGCAGGATCTGTCCATGGCTGACTTCCCTCCGCCAGATGAGGCCTGCTTCCTGCTGCCTCCCCCACTCTTGCAGACGGAGTCTGGGGAAGCGCCCTCTGTGGAGGCAGGTGCTGCAGAGGCCCCTCCAGACCCCCAAACAGCCAACCCTGCAGGGCAGGAAGACGGAACGCCTCCCTCCTTCCCCACCGTGGTGTCCGCAAACTTCCTGCAGCCAGGAATTCTGCCCCTGCCGCCCCCAAGCACAGAGCCGTGTCTACTTCCCAACCTTTCTCCAAGTGGAGAACTGTCCGGCTCTCAGCTAGGCTCCAGGTACCCCACTGCCTCAGGGGCTGCAGTGCCCTCCAGTATCCCCCCCCCGATTAAGAAGCCACCCACCAGCTCCCATCCTGACCTCAAGAAGGAGCCTGCCACACGCAGCAAGGCCGTCTCAATGCCCAAGGAGGATGCCAGCCTGCCCATCGTTACACCATCCTTGCTGCAGATGGTCCGCCTGCGCTCAGTTGACGTGGAGGCCCACGGCCCTGGGATCAGTCCAGCCGGGGGGCCCGTGACCTCCACAGAATCCAGAAGAGCAAACGTGACCACAGATGGGAAGACGGCCCCCTCAGCCCCCCAGAAGCCTCTCCGCAAGTCCCTGTCCTTGAGGGGGGGCCAGCCTGCTTCGAAAGAGGGGCTTAACCCCCTGCATGAGGCTGTGCGCCTGAAGGCCTCCACCTTAACTTCCAGGGAAGCCATGAGTCTCGGAATGGCTGAGAGGAAGACCGGGAGCCGGATGGCGCTGCCAGGCACCCCTTCTGCCTCGGCTAGCAATGGCCCGGTGTCCCCTCTCCACAAATCCCCTGCCTCCACCGCCAGCTTCATCTTTGCCAAGAGCCCCAAAAAGCTGGTCATCGAAACTGCGTCCTCGTCGGAGGCCCAGGCCAGCCTGCAGAAAAACCTGGTGGCCGAATTGATGACTGTCTCCAGCCAGCGATCCACAGCGGCCCCGGGGCTTCATCTGCAGGGCTCAGCCAAGACCCCCAAGCACCAGAAGATCCCCCCTCCCATTGCCAAGAAGCCTTCTCTTGGGCCGGGGCGCAGGCCCTCCCCCCAAAGCCCAAAGTCCCCCGGAGCCGAGGAACCAGCGGTCGAGGAGAGGACTAAGAAGGTGGGCTCTGGAAGCCGGACCTCTGCCTCGGAGTCTGGCGATGGCAGCCCCCCAGCTGGGCCTGACAAGCAGTTGCGCAGGAGCCCCCCAGGACAAGGTGAGCGGGTGGCAGACCCACGGGGTGCCCTTCCTGTTGCAGGGGAGCTGCGGGGGGTTGGGTGGAGCAAGACATCCAAGACCTTTTCCTGGGGTTTGCAGTCGTGGGACGTCTGTTTCTTAAGCTGGCCTTTATGTGGCAATTCCCTGCCAACTTCCAGTCAGCTGCTCCTGGGATTGGGGAGCTGGCTGCTGTTGCTTCCGGGCCTGCCAGCGTTTGAGGGGGGTGGCATTTCCCCCCTTTCTGTTGAAAGGACCCTGGAGGTGGGCATTGTCTGGTGCTACTTCAGCACCATCGCAAGTTGTTTTGTGCTGCCTCTGGGCAGCCTAGAGGAGACGGGTCCTTCCTGCCCCTTTAGAAGCTCTGGGCCATCACGGCCCCCACCCTGGTGCCCACCAGCTGCCGGGCTTGTCTTTCTTTTACGTGAGATGGGCAGTGGTATCAATCAATCAATCAATAATAGTAACAAAAATTGGGAGGGTGCAGGCTTGGCCCGAGGCTCTTGAATTCTGCTGCAAAATCTCATGCCCTTTTTGGGAAGTGAAAGTAACCCGACTCTCTCTCTCTGCAGACGGAAAAGAGGAGGTGGTGTGAAGGAGGACCCTGCAAGGGCCGTTTGCCCGCAAGATACAGGGATTTAAAAAGAAAAAATATTCTCAGGGACCTCTTAGGGCCAGAAAAGAAGCTTTGGTGGTGGCGCTGAAGAAAAGAAAACACCAACCTGCAGCCTTCGTCTCCCGTGGCCAATGTCAAGGCCACGGGCTTCGAAGTCCTCAGCAGCGCTGGGGGCAAAGGGGCGCATCCCTTTCCCCCCTCCCGTCTCTCCCTGGACTCAAACCTCGTGTCGGTCCTGCTTGGTTTGGTGATGTTGAATCCCCCCCCCATTTGGTGTGAGAAAACAGTTTAAGGTAGCATAAGATGAGGAGAACTCAGCATCTGCTGGGAAGATGGTCAAAACTGGAGCAGCTTGTTGCAGTTCACCCCCCCCCCCGATGCCTTTTTAATGGGTTGCATTGTCTGTTGCCATTCAGTGTGCATTTGGGGAGTGGGGGGGGAGACAAAATGGCCTGCGCTTGCACACCCACGTGGCATGGAAGCACTTTCTCAGTGGGACGTGAGGAGGACGGCCATTGCGGGAAATCCCTGCTCAGTCTTCCCAGACCGTGCTGGGTCCCAGAAGAGGCCCTGCTGGTAGTTTTGCTCTGGACTCCTGTGGGCAGATTCTGGCTGTTGCAAACAGCTGATTCCGGGTAGGGGGTGCCTGTAGGGAACCCCCCCTCACCTGCTAAAAGCACAAATGGCAGCCTGGAAGATGGTGCAACTGCCAAAAGACACCGTTTTTTCCCCAGTCTCTCTTCACCTGTGCCGTGAACACTACCTTAGGGAAGCCCCCCCCCATGGGAGTGGGAGAATCTCTGAGCTGTCTTGCAATGGACATGAGTAGTGAGCAGGCACCTGGCACAACACCGACAAGGCTTAGCGAGCCCAGGCAGCTGTCTGGAATGTAGCTGTTCACTGCCAAAAGAGCAAAAAAGCCACTGAATTTTGCACCAAAACATTCCAGTCCGGTCATGAGAACAGAGGATCCACTGGAAAATTGAGTAGGGGAACCACTTCAGGCCAGACTTTCCTTCTCCCTCTCCCACCAAGAAACCCAATTGATAACGTCAGGGGCACCTGCACTGGAGTTTTATTTGTGGTGAATCTGCCCATTCCTTGCCAGTGGGCCCAGAGAGATGCAGAGTAATTGGATCCGATTTATAGCCCTTCTTTGGGGCGGCTGGAGCTGGGTGTGTAGAGAAGCTGGGCGTGCTGGGGGCCCAAATTCCATCATTGGCTGAAGGGAAAGTCTGGACGCAGAAACACTTGGGGGTGTGAGTCGGGGTGTCTCCATCCGGCCAGGAGCACCTGCAGTGTCCTTGTTAGGGTCTTCTCTCCCCCACCTGGTGTGGCCAGCAGTGGCTCATCCCAGAGGTCTTTGTGGTACCCAGAATGTGGTGAAGGCAGCCTCCGGCATCTCGGGAGCCCTCCAGGATGGGTCCAGATCACTTGCAACGCCCATGTCTGGCCTTCTGGCTGGGAAGATGGGAGCACTGAGGCAGAGGCAGCTGCGGACAAGGGTGGTTTTGTGGTCTCCTGCCAGAAGTGCAAGGAAAGGGCTGGGCATAGTTAAGGATGCTAAGTAACGATTATCTTCCTTAATAGTCGACCTGGTTGGAGAAGACTCCGAGGGGACCCTCTGCAGAAGGGTGAAGGGGGAGCTGAGACCGGGGCCCTCCTGCCTTCCTAAACAACCACACGTGCCTGCAGTGGCAAATGTTCTCCCCAGGTCCTCAGCCCCGGGGCACCCTGTGGGACGCTTGCTACCATCCTCAAGGAGATCAGGGTTTTCAGTTTGCACCAGAAGTCCAGCTGGACATCGCTAGTGCACATCCAGGCCTCTGTTCTTCGGCCCATGTGCAAAGAGCAGGGGCCTCAGCAGGGTGGAGAAGGTGGTCATGGCACCATCTAGACTTGGGCAGGGAGGCGCTCACGGCTGCAAGGGAGACCAAAAAGCTCTGCCTGGTTTTCTCTCCCCCTCCCAATTTTCCTTTTCCCCCCCCCTCGCTTTTCTCTTCTCTTCTTGGACAGCTGGCAGCTGCTCTCTACACCTTGGAAAACTTTGGAGTCTGTTGATTTGATTTCCACTATGGTAGAGAAAGAGAAGGGTTCCTTTTTTTTAAAAAAAAAAGGTCAATTCTGTTTTAAAAAAGATGAATGTGCATTTGTAAAATGACTGATTAAAAGCTTGCTTGCTGACTCTTCTTTCCTGTGATATGAGGAGGGGGAGAGGAAGGGCAGGTCGGCTGCCCCGGATGGTGAGAAAGGAAGAGCGGGTGCCGAGGCCCAGGAGAGGCTCAAGACAGCCATCCTGCTGCTTCGAAACCTCCGAAACAGAGACAATTGCCAAGTGTTGGAGGGTTTGATTTTGAAGGTTAATGAAGCCAAGGGCTCTTCCGCCCCCAACCTTCCCCTCAGCTTGATCTGGGGGCCCCAAGCAAGCCCCAGCTGACGTCTTTTTCTCTCACAGTTTCCAACTTCCCCATCTTACGCCTTTCCTGAGCTTTGGATGGCTTTCCACAAAAAGGGAAGCACACACCAAGCTACAGGTAGTCCTCGGTTTATGACCAGCCGCTTAGTGGCCATTCAAAGTTACAGCAGAGCCCCCCCCCAAAGGTACTTACAACCCAATTCCGACAACCTCCCCCATGGTCATGTAACTGCATTTCAGATACTTGGCAACTAGCCTGCATTTGTGGCCATTTGTTGTGCCCCACAACAATCAAGCAACTGCAATTATTGTTGCAAAAAAAGTAACCGGGTGAGAACCTGCTTTACAACCATCGTGGTTTACAAATGGGCAGGCTCTATTAGGGTCGCAAGTTGGGACTTCCTGCATATTCAAATGCCTTAAATACCCCCGGTGCTTTGTAAGGTGCCGAGTCCCAAATGTTCAGGCCTTTGGTCTGCCTGTTTCTGCAAACCGCCTGCAGCTTTTCTGGAGTTCACCTTGCGTGGCCTAACAAAATTATTTTCTTAATATGGTTTGTGCAAGCACTCTAGACAAACTCCTTTTACATCTTTTGCCCAGAAACCGAATCAAGCTTTTATCTCTGGAATACGATGCATCATTTACAGCAGGGGTGTCCAGGTTTGGCAACCTGATTTACAGAATAAGCCGATGCACGATCAGTTCGTCTGAAAAGGGGGCACTGCATTTTGAGACAAACATGACAATGTTTCACGACAGGCCTGACTGACGGGTCTGCTCCTCCGAGGGAGCTCTTCTTCTCTAGCCCGGATCCGAACTCAACGGAAGCAGCAGAGGACAAGAAGCGAGACCGCCCCGTCAGCTCGATGGAAGGCCGCTGTGGCCATCGGTAAGAAGCAACTCCCCACAGAGGGAGATTAGTCTGAAGGGGGGGGTCTCATTCTCCCAGGACGAGGTTTCACAAGCAGCAGCTTTTCTCACCTTCACCAGCCAGTGAAAGGAAGCAACTGCCTCTTTCTCCCGCAACACAGACAGGCAGGCCTCGGTCACGTTGGGAGAGAAGGAAATCCAGGGCCCTGTCACTGCTGGAAGCGGTTTTCCTTCCTCACCGGCCGGGTCATGATTTCCTGGGTCAAGTGCAACTGCTCAAAGATCACTGCTGGAAGCACAGAGGAGGAGGAGGAGAGGTGGGCAGAACATGGGGTGGTGGGCGCAGGAGAGGGGCAGGCTGGAGCTCTAGCGGATGCTGCCCCCGTTCAGAGATTTGCACGTCAGGTTCCCCAGAGCAGTCATGAGATTCTTCCCCTTCCACTGGGCCACAAAGTTCTCAGAAATCTGGAGGTCAACCTGGGGAGAAAAAAAGGAGGTAGTGCCAGGTTCAACGTCAAAGACTGTTCCTAAGCACGTTTGCTCAAAAAGCTCCCGGGCTGTCTGGGGGCTCTTCTACCTGGCTCTTTTACCAAGTCAGTGGGCTCCGAAATAAAAGAGCCAACACAACAGCACAGCTCCCTAGGCAACTCACGCCCAAGCACCCACAGGCTAGTCCTCGCTGCTCTCTAGTATTGTTGTTATATCCAATAAGTAACCTAATTATTTTGAATCTGCCATTGAACATCCATCAAAAATGGATCAAGACATCCAAGCTCTCGGTTCTTTTTCCAGAACTAGAAATAATGCCGTTAAGTACCTCCATCCCTTACACTTCCTTCTTCCTCTCTGGAGAGAGCAAAGAATCAATGGGCCACATAAGAGGCTGGGATGCTTCAAAGGGTTTGGCAGACTGCTCTTCCATGGGACACGTATTTGCCACAGGCAGCCTCATGCAACAGCCCGAGCTCTTCCAGCTGCTCCCGAGCCCTTCTGCAAAGGCTGCTCCGGCCACCCTTAGGATGCCCACACACCTGGGCGAGGGGAGCTGTTTGGGATGCCAACCCCCCAAGTTGGATGCCACTTAAGACTCTGTGCAAATCTGCACCAAGACGGAGCTTCTCCACTTACCTGCAGCTTCTCAAATACTTTCTTCTTGGGCTTCAGCTCATCATCCGGTTGGCCATTCTCAAAGCCTTCTACAAACACTCGCTCCCCAGGACAGGAGCCTGCTGGGGGGTCCAAGGGCTCCGCTCGGCAGGGATCTCCAGAACTGAGGCGATGGAGAAAGAAGGCGTCCATGGGAGAACGTGAGCGCAATGCACAAGGCGCTTCCAGCACCTGAGCCCCTGCCCCACTGCCTTTGCCAACCTGAAAGCGCAGAGCAGCATGGCCTGGGACTCCACTCCCCGCATCTTCTGGGGCTTCATATTGCAGACCAGCACCACCAGCCTGTCCTGGAGCTCCTCCTTGGGCACAAACTCCACCAGACCACTGACCACCGTACGAGGTTTGGCCTCCCCCAGGTCAATCTTCTCCACGTACAGCGTATTGGCATCAGGATGCTGTAGGCATCAGAACGGGAACATCAGGGACCAGCAGAAAGAGCCTCCAGTGTGACAGGCCTAACTTTAACAGCACCCGCAAAGGGTGGCACCAAAAGCACCTCACCTTTTCCACACTGAGCACTCTGCCAACCCGGAGATCCACTCGGGACGGGATGACTTCCTCGGAGTCGGAGTTCTTTGTGGAGCCCTTCACGGCAGATTCTGCAAGTAAACAGCAGAGAAAATAAAGGCTTTATTAGAGGAGCTGGAATTTCAAAAGGCAACAGTAGACTTTGATGTGTTGAGCCAAACCAGCCTGGCCTCCATAAACTGGCACATCTGACAATCTTTGGTAGAAATGTTCCTTTGATCAAAAGCTTTGGAAAAAAAGGGGGAAACCCACTGCTGTTGGTACATTGTAATGTACATTATTCCCAACACCTATACACTGACACAATATATAAATGGACTCAATTCCTGTTGCCACTAGGTTTATTATTGCAAAACTGTAAGCACATCTTTCTTTGGATCAGGGAAGGACACCTTTGTCTGAAAAATGAACACAATAAAGAACATAGAAAGACCAAAGATTAAGGATAAATGCAAATTATTTTTATCTATAATTCTCAGTTGCTTTTCCTTGGTATGGTTGGTATGCTTTTATTTTTGCTTTTGGTGTTCTGATTTCAAATAAAGCCATGGAATACATCTTATTATTGCTGCCTGATTCCTATGCCCTTTCTCACTGAGGACTCTGCACTGCAGATGAGCTGTTCCGTGCAGGCCGTGGGGGGCGGGCAGAGGGAGAATGGCAAGAAGCAGAAATGGAGAATGCAAAGAAAAACAGAGAAAGGTTGGGAGGGGGCTCTAAGCCCCAACCTCAGCTTGCATCTCGCCCACTAGGCATGTGGCAGCCCAGCCCAGATGGAGCCCCCGCCGGCCCCAATTCTTGTGGGCCTTACTTGCTGTGGAGGCCTCAGGATATGCACGGCTGGCGAGCTTCTTCATTTGTGAGCTGCTGAACTTCTCTCTGATGGGATCCAGGAGTTTGTTCAAGGCCACCTCTATGGAGCTTTTCAAGTCTCCCGGATGGACAACCTGGTCACAAGATCAAAGCAGAAGCCAGATAGTTCTTGCCTTATCACCATAACTGAAGCTGGAATTTTACAAGCTGTTTTTGTGGTGATCATTAAGCAAACACAGCTGGGGTTAAACAAACCTGTTTCCCACAATGGGCATTTTTGCAGGAAACTGGAAGCAAACATTGAAAACTGGCAAAGCCCACCAAAAATCTCAGTCTTACAACCACGGGACACTACAAATGGTCATAAAAGCAAGCTGGTTACCAAAAACCTAAAATGCAATCATGTGATTTTTTTGGGGGGGGGATCTGAACTTTGAAATCTGGTTGCAAATAGCTCTGGGGAGATCCGCTGAAACTCTGAACGGTTGCTAATTGACCAGTTATTAAGCAAGAATTACCTCTATTACAACTTAGTAATATTGACAGAGAACTTATAAGAACTGGATGCAATGGGCTTTGTGTGCAGCAGTCCAATTTTTTTTGGCTGCAAATTGTTTGCATAATGTCATTTATGTGGTGATGTTATTACACGAAGTACATAAATCTGCAAGACCCCCAACTCTAATTCAACAGATATCCTTGATTAGTGGACACCCCCCCACACACACACTGAACTGTTTTTATGAGTCCAAAAACAACTTCCAGAGTTTCAATCTTTCTCCCACCCTTTATAATAGGAAATTGGAAAATGAAGGGGACTTGCCCTGTGCTTAACAATTTTGTCTAGTCAATTTGCTTCCCGTTTTGAACAAACCGGGGTGATTTACAGCTGAATAAATCACATTCATCCTGATTTATTTAGTGAGAGATATTGAGCAATATGTACAATTTACCCGCTTGTTTCCAATAAGGTAGAATTCTAAACCATTTCAATTTATTATATGCAAACTGGCCCTTTGTTGTTCTACATCAATCTGATGAAAGCTATAAGAAAACATCTGCCTTTGCATTAATCTGACTTGCGTGTATTTTTAATATATAAATGAAGTGACTCTCCATGACTCTGGGACCAGCTCTACTAAGTATGCAGAATGACAGAAAGTTTTTCTCCAAACACCTGAAAGTAAAGTACAGCTAGGAAATTACCACAAATTCTTCTGCCTGAATACAGGGGAGGAAACCAGAGTTTGCAAAATCAAAATCCCATTTATTACCTGCTCAGCAAAGTCCTTCTCAAGATCCTCGTAGCTCGTGTAAGTTTTATTTCCTCCCCACTTCTCATCTCTAAGGATCACGAACTCTACAGAAAAGTGAAGATGTCTGTTAAACAAGCCCACATTTAATACCAGCATCCTCAAATATTCTTTTGGGTGGGATGCTGGGCATCACAACCACCTATAACGATGTCACTTAATGCCCACCTGACTTCGGGCCAAACAGGTTCTTCACCCAGGTCCAAAGCATGCAAAGTTCATTTCAGAGCCCTGGGAGCTAGGCCAGACTTCAGCTGGAGGACTGGGACCAATCCAGGCTGAAGATCTCAAAAGGAACCAAGACAGACAGTGGGATGGAAAATAATATTGATGTGGGAGAAGAACCTGTTCGGCCTGGACAGAGGAGCTACAATGAGCATGGAGCAGCATTTCCTGAAGCACCATCAGGTAGAGGAACAAGAAGCCCCACCTTTCTGTGGAGTCCTTGGTGCTCTCTGAATTTCATTACCCAGACAGACATTTGCAGACATTTCATTACCCAAACCAGGTAACGTCATCAGCACTGATGACGTTACCTAGTTCGATCATGAATTCTGCAAGAAAACCACCAAGCTCAGACATCACCAAGGACCCCACAGATAAGCTCTGAAAAACAAATATTCTCTCCTATTGGTACTTCGCTTCTGTAATTCCCACAGCAAGAAATGCTTTAAAAGCCAAAATTATAAGGTAGATTTTGACTGAATTAGCGACATGTCCGATGGTCTCTTCCAGAGATCCCTTGCTTGGGCTACCAATGACTTCTTTTGCCACTGTAAAGAGACTCTCCTCCCCTCCCCCCGCTTCAGGATCCCGGAATGCTGCCAGGCACATCCTTCAGTATTTCCCGCTGCTTAGGATTCCTTTTTCGGCTGGTGGAAAGACATGAGAATTGGGTAGGAGGAAACCAGTCTCTGTGCTCCCTGTTCTCCTGGCCAGATTTCTCCTCCTGCTTCTCCTCCCTAGCAAGGCCAGCGCTGAGCCCTCGGGACCCTCACCTGATCTGAGGGGGAAGAGGACGTGCTTGACAAAGGACAAGACCCCGTTGTTCTCCACATTTCCTGGCTCGCAAAAAGCCTTCTTAAGCTTCTTTTTCACATCCTCTTTTCGATCCAAAAGATCAATCTTAGACTCCTAAAAAAGGGGAGAAAAAGAGAAGATGGTCCAATATTACTCTTTAGGCACAATTTGAAGTTTTTTTAAAAATAAAGAGGAACTATAATAGGATTTCAATAGGATGTATTTATATTAATCAATTACAGCATTGTTTCCCAACCTTGGCAACTTTTAAGATGGATGGATTTCAACTCCCAGAATTCCCCAGCCACCATGAATGGTTCCCCAGCATGAATGCATGCTGGCTGGGGAATTCTGGGAGAGAGTCCACTCATTGTAAAGTTCCTACAGTTGAGAAACCCTGGATTAGAGTTAATATCACGTGTATATTATGATTGAATCCTTGAATATCACTCCCCAATCTTTTCTCTTTGGTTACATTTTCACCGAGCGCGTGAACAATCAGCTGCAATCCCATGCCTCTCCCTGCAAGGTTGCGCTGCAGGTTCCGCTGGTAGGACGATGAACGCATTCGCGAGGGCTGGGGCATCTCCTGCGCAACCGCCGTCTAAGACACCTGCAGGCCTGTTCCTGCCACTGACCAAGGTAGTGTTCGTGCCACATTTTGGGCACCATCAGAGACAATGGATTTAAAAAGCAGCCACTGAACCAGGTGGATTCCACTGCTATGTAAGAATCCTTCAAATGTATTCATGTCAACAGGCTAATTTTGCTTTGAGGCTGTTCATTTGAGGTTGGCAAAGTCATCTCAATCTTTTGTTGAAACATGGTTTGGGATATTGGTTTCTTCTTCATTTTTTCAAGTATTCTATTTCCCCCCCCTCATTTTGTTTCTTCAATATACTCATCTAATTTTATCTGATTTATGAACCCCCTTCCTTTATGCTCAGTTTGATTAATTACCCGTTCTAGGAGCGCCTCTGAAAACCACTGAAAGGGCCAGCCCAGGACCGCTCTCTCTCCCCGGCCGGCCTGGGCTGTTCGGGACCCACCTCTTCCGAAGAGCTCATCTTGGTTCCCGTCAATCCAGGCACCATGGGGTTCATCAGATGGATGCGTTTGGTGTAGCCCAGGGACGGGAGGTACTACAGCAGAGCGAGAAACACACACACAGGTCACACACAAACAATTCAGGAGGCTGAGAGGAAGAGAGGTGGCTTAGTGGATGAAGAGACACACACCGCTCCTCCAAAAAGGGGGCTGAAATGGTATCACAGGCCAAGCAACCAGCACTGCTTGTGGATCAGCCCCAGCAGCTATTTTATGGTTGATCACAACAATATCACAAGACGGTCTGCCTTTCCTTGAGCAAGGGCAGATATAGACCTAAGGGCTCAGAGGTTCCTTCCCCTGAACAGACGAAGCTGGATTGTCCCTTTCCTCTCCGTAGAGGGACTCCCTCCCCTCCAGCCAGGGCTTTCCCCACACCTGGAGAGAAATTGCCAAAAGAATGCCCCTTCCGGACTGAAGCCTGGGACCCGTGGTGGGCCACGCTCAGTTTTTCTCCGGGCAGGGAGGACACCCCAGGAAGTTATGCTGGCAGGTGAGAGCTCCTGGGAAATATCTTGGTCTAGCCACGGGACACCAGGTTACAACCAAAGGCAACAGAATTTTGGCCAGCGTATTGGAGAAGGGGCAGCCTCTGCGCTCACCTTTTCTGCAAAGGTGAAAATTTTTCTCTGATCCACTCCTCCAAACTGTGCGTCAACTTTCAGATACTCTTCATCCAGTGCCTGCAGCAAGAGCAAGAAAAAAGGACTCCTTAGGAACTGTAAGAGAGAGCTCCCCATGTTGTCTTCACCAGACAGCGTGTGCAAGGGCCACAGCTGAGAGGCAACGAGCTCCATGAAGAAACGAGTAGGCTGGCCATTCCCTTTGGTCAACCACAACTGACGTTCTAGTTTTTATGCAGCCTGCTGTTATTTAGTCTACGGAACATTTGCAAATGAAGCTCAGCTTGGAAATGAATTCACACATATGCCTCAGAAAGGTGTGCTGCTCCTCAAATACCGAGACTGGGGAAGCCCAAGGCTGAATCATTTCCAACAGACTTAAAACCAGGGTGTTTGCGCTACTCTTATCGCTCTACAAGTGCTGGGCCCTGCACACATACCATGAACTCAGATTGTGTTTTTTAAAAAGGTAAACAGTTGGCTAAACGTACGGATGTCCCTTTCTATCTTCCAGGACCTGTGGTGGGTCCTTGAATGTTACTCTACCTGCAGCCCAGGGTAGAGAAGACCACTGAGGAGGGGGTGTTCCACTTGTTTCACCACTTCTGCGCCAGCTTTCTTGGCATCATGCTGGGTGACAACAGAGGACAGTCGATAGACATCCAGGGTGTATTCCCTAGGCAGACGGAATGCAAGCCATGATACAAAGATACAAACGGTCACATGGAGCCGTTTTCACCACACGGCGCCTTTTGCATAATGGTGGTGGCGCTAGCACGAGTGTGGGGTGTGTGCGTGCACAAACATGTGCACACTGGCCAGCCTGCCATGCAGCCCGGTGGCCAGCAGGCCATGGCCCAGTAGTGGGCCGTGGCTCACAGGTTGGGGACCCCTGATCTAGAGCAACAGCAATCCTCCTTGGAAGCAGGAAAGATTTCCATTAACCGTTATGTATATTTATTTATATCCCACCTGTCAAAGCAAGAATATTCAATATTAGCATCTCTTAACCCTCTATAATTCCCTCTATAATCTGCCTTTGGCATCAGATTCTATCTTTCCCAGGACTTCTCCTGGCAGGAAGAGGGCAGCTTCGGCCTGCCCAACTTACTTGCTGAGCTGGAAGTCGGTCCCTCGGACGAACCGGAGCTTCTCCAGGGGCACCCCAATGCTCTCCAGCATCGCCTTAATGACCCCCTCGTAATACTGGGTACGCAATTCCAGAAGTTCCCACGGAGCCTTCATGTTGTCTAGGTAGGCATGCAGATCAGCGAACAGAACGGTCACCTGAGAGACGGGGTGTGTGTGTCATATGGGCTGCTGTCCTTTGGGTGAGGCAAGAGGAGGCGATGTCTCTTCCCTTGCCCTGGTGTGAGGGTGAGTCTGGGAAGTCAGAAAATCCCCCTACCCTTAAAGCCAAAACCAGAATAAAAAGGCAACCTGATTGGGGGAGGAGAGGATTTGAAGAGAGCCGCACAACTGGGAGGCATCCTGTTCACTTCTTGAACCACCCCCAAAGTAGGCGAAGACTGCAAGCTTAGATCCCCCCCACTCTGGGCAGTGTTTTGGCAGCTTTTAAGCGGGTGGACTTCAACTCCCAGAATTCCCCAGCCAGCTTTGCCTGTCTCCCTCTCCATAGGCCCTCCAGACCCCTATGGAGACAGCAGTATGCCTCCCCCCTAAGGATCCAAAGCAAAGGCAGAGTTGGCTCAACCTCACAGCCAGCCTTGAGGAAGTCTGCAATCTTGGACATGGGCACGAAGTAGGCGATGTGAGGCTTGCCCGTGGTGGCTGTCCCCCAGTAAATCTTCAGCTCCCGTTCTTTCAGGATGGCTTTCAATTTATCCTCTCCAAGAACCTCCTGCAAACACATAGGATTGTTTAGTATATCTGCTGGAATTTACCGAAAGTCAAGATTAAATGCCTTGACTGCAGCAGAACTCTTCCCAAGGCCAGCATCCACAAAACACCAGACTCGCACAAGAAATAACTAATGCACTCCAACTGTTAAAATACTGATTTGTACAAGTAGTCCTCGACTTACAACCATTTATTTAGTGACCAAAGTTACAGCAGCACTGAAAAATGTGACTTGCAATCAGTCTTCACGCTTACAACTGATCAAAATCTGGTTGCTCGGCATCCAGCATGTATTTATGACAGTTGCAGTATCCTGGGGCCAGGCGATGGCCGTTTCTGACCTTCCCAGCCGGCATCCAGCAAGCAAAGTCAGTGGGGAAAGCTGGATTCACTTAAAGACCACATGGATCACTTAACAACTGCAGTGATTTGCTGAACAATCATGCCCAAAAAGTCATAACATTGGATCTCGTTTATCAACTGTTCTGCTTCACAACAGAAAATCTGGTCTCAAATGCGGTTATAAGCACTGAAAAATGTTCTTTGAACAATGCCTTTAGCTTCTCACGGGGCGGGGTGCTTAGGGTCTGTCCAGTTTAAGGGCCAATTTCTTCCTGTCCCCTTGAATCCCACCGCCCCTTCTTCACCACCACCCCCCCCCGCCCAGCCAAGTACCTGCAAGTTCCGGGTGATCAGGTGAAGCCTCTCCTGGGCGGTCAGGTCTTCCCCCATGGCGACTCCCCGCCAGATGCTGACTCACTCGGCGGCCTCCCGAGTCTGCAACCCGACGAAAAGCCCGTTATTGCCGGGAAGGACCGGGGGGAGCCCCTCCCCGCCGCCCCAGCGCAGCGCCCGCCCGCCCGCCCGCCCCCCAGGATCGAGCGGGGAGATCAGACAGGCAGGCTGCCGCCCCCCCTCCCACCCACCCACCGGCCAGCCTGTATAGGGCAGAGGCGGGGGGCCTGGCGGGGGCGGAAGGAAGGAAGCGAACCTCTCGCGCGCCGCTCTCCCAGCTGTCTCCCGGCCGGCGCCCCCCACGCGTTGCATCAGCCGCCGCTCGGCGCTCCGCTCCCCGGCCTGGGCCCGCTTCCGACGAGCCCCGAAAGGCCGATCGGAGGGGCGGGGCGGGGCGGGGCCGGCGCTGATCCCGGAAGATGGCGGCGGGTGAGTGCTTGGGGGGGGGCAGAGGCGGCGGCGGGGTAGCCGNGGGGGGGGGGGAGAAAGGATTTTAACGACCTGGGGCCCAACCGCCCCCAGAGAAGCGGGGAGACTGGAGGAGAAACGGGCTGGGACAAGGAGGCTTCTCGCTGCCCTTTTAAACCGGTTCTGTAGTGTACCCATCTGGGTTAAAAAAAAAATTAAATGGGGATTTATATGAACAAACTCAGAATAAATCCATTTACTCGAACATTACTGTGCCTGCCTTTTAAATATCAAACAAAATGCATTTTTCCAGATTTTTTTTCAGAGCTTTAGATTCTTGGCAAGAGAGATGGGGAGACCGTTGGTCTGGATCTTCTCCCATGACCCAAGAGATCAAGTTCTCCTTAAAGTGGAACTATCCTCAGGATAAATTCGCCTCACCTAGTTTTTTTTAATAGATGTCTTTACTTTTAAAAGTTTATGTCTAGCATTTGTTCTCCCATAATTAGGAAAGTCATAAACATACTAACTTTAAAAAGAACAGTAAAATTTAAAATAGCCCACTGCTATATATTGCTTCCTGTAGGGAAGCAATATATAGATACTGGTCTCCAAAGATTAAATAGGAATTCATTCAAAATTTCTAGTTTCTAATACCCCGACAAATGTCTTTGCATATCCCCTGGGCGCTCCTAGAAGATAGTGGCAGTACTTTTGAAAGCAGACCAGAAGCAAATGTCTAAGGCGTAGACAGCATCCTGTGGCATGCAGAGATGTTTTCATTAACTACGTCCACTGTGGCTGCCATTTTATTATTAGCTAGCTTCCCAGTGACAATTCACAATATCTTAGCTTTCCAAGAAAGTGTAGTGTATTGTTAGAAGCATAATTTAATTGGCATAAACACTTGTTTATTGAATGTTGGTTTTAAATTTTTTGGGTGTAAATAAGTCACTGTGAAATAGAAATACTGTATCTTCCCTTTGGCTGGGAAAATTAGTACTTTGTTGCTGAGAATACTTTTCCTATTATATGGATCGCATTATGGTCAGTCCTTGACTTACAATAGTTCATTTAGTGACCGTTTGAAGTTACAACAGATTAAAGAAAGATTAAACATGGTTAGCATACTGTACCAATACAGCCTTTAAAATACCCATATGGCATTAAATTTTACTAATACCAATAAATCATTTAAAAATATTTCCTCTTTGAAAAAGACTTAAAAATACAATTTTATTTTTTAACCTTATTTATACCTTTGAATTAGTCTTGACTCCTAGTGACTGCCTGGACATGACTGCAGTTTTCTTAACCAGATTTTTTCAGAAGTGGTTCACCATTGCCTGCTTCCTAGGGCCATGAGGAATGGCTGTCCCAAAGTCACCCAGCTGGCTTTGTGGCTAAAGTGGGACTGGAACTCAGATTCTTCTGATTTCTAACCTTAACCACTACACCACTAAACCTTAACCACTACATCTGGTTTCTAACCTTAACCACTACACCAAACACTACACTACTCCTTTAAATACAAGGAAGTGTCACACTTCTTTTAAAAAATACAGAAAGTATTGAGATACTGTTAAAGTAGCAGTTTTCTTATCCTTACAACTTGATCTTTTTGTCACAGTGGGCTGCTTTGTTTTCTTCTGTTTTCCTAAATCTTGGTATTGTTTAACTTCCTCTCATGAATAGACTTTCATCAGCAGAACCTGACCTGCAGGTGAAGCCCTGAGGAAATGACCTCCAGTCCCTGTAGTAAATTTGTTCAGGCTACCTATTAAAATGAAGTCTATTGGAAGTCTGCAGCTCAGTGAGGCTAGCTTGTTACTCTAGTCACGCAACAAGCCGGTGGCTTGACTTTTAATTTGCATAACGAAGCCTCCTTCCAAGGATGTGCAATCTCAGGAGAGGAGGAAAGCCATGCTTGAACTTTCTCAAAACTGAGATTGCAGGTAATCGGAGACCACTTTGATTGAAACAGGGCTTCAGTTATAAGGTTATCCTTCCTTAGTCTTTAACCTGGAGAGTGGAGGGTGGGATCCTTAAAATATAGTGGTCAGAAAAGCAGCATTGGGCCAAGTCGCATTGTCTGCTCCTGTAGTAGTTTCTTAAAGTTGCTTTCTCTAACGCTTTAGGTTCTGGGAGCAAGAGGCATTTAGAAGAGGAGTGTGAAGAAGGGGGCGCAGCAGACGCGAAGAGACAATGCTGTAGGACCTGCAGGTGCTCATCCTTTCAGGCACATTCCCTCAGCAGTGGAAGAGCAGCTTCTCCAGGCTCTTTCCTGAGCAGCGGTGGATGCTTGGATAATGACTTGGATGACGCCATCCTGGCTCGTTCTGATGAGGACATGCCAGATTCTCCCACCGGACTCTCTCGTGAAGCTGAGGATGAGCTCATAGCAGAGGATCTGGAAAACCCCCCATGTTTTGTAGCAGCTGAAGTAAATAGCTGTGAGGATGTGAAGAGGGGTAGCCTTTTAGCTTGTCCTGAATCTGCACAGCCTCTGAGGGCTCTGGATGAGGTTGAAAGCACAAAACCTCTTCCTCAGGCCGCTTCTTCAGCCAGCTCAAGTGAGGGGGCTGCTTTCCCGAATGATTTGGAGAAATATTTGAATAAGAGCTCTCAAAATCGAGCAGAGTTTGGTGCAAATTACAATGGTCTTAGGATTCCAGAAGCTGGTTCAGACGTAACAGCTTCTTTGAATCTGGAAAGAGGTCTGTCTGGAAAAATAGATAATGAAGCAATAAAGACAGTGACAAGTGTTTTGCCAGTAGGAAGCCAACTAGTGGCTGAACATGAATCATTTGGTGCGGTGGGTGGACAGTCCTCAGAGAGACAGACTTCCCAAAGTCAGAAGCAGCTCAGAGGCAAGAATACAAGCAACCCACTGCCTGAAAAAGAATTAGATACTGTTGACTTGCATGCAGTGTCCACTCATGTCAATGGCCAAAGAAACGATTGTGTGGAAGTTCCTGATGTTAAAAAAACCAATAGGTCAGAATGCCTCCCCCTTCCCCTTCTTCCAGTGATACGCTGTTAGGCATGCTTTCTCAATTCCCACAGAGTTTGGAATGTATTTGTTTTTCCCTGCTTTGTACAGGTTATGGATTGAGATGATTACTCTTCAGAATCTGGAAATGCATTTGAGGGCCTTGTATATGTGACGTATGATGGGGTTGTCTTATCCCTTTGCTTCCCACTAGATGGTAGTGGGCACTAAAACTTTTACTACGGAAGGAAGATTCCATGTCCAGGTTGATGATTTGGAAGCCGTTAACATGTTTTGGTTTTCTTTTAAATTTTATTTTCCTTATTTTCCTCTCCCCTCCCCTCCCCTCCCCTACTCCCCCAAATCCCAGTTTTTCTTTTCCATGGATATAAGAATTTTTCCTGTTTGAAATACGACACAAGATTTTTTAACAGTTGACAGTCTTCATCCTGCAGAGGGCTAAAAGCTTGTACTTCCTCAAAACCAATATCTAAGCTATTCAAGATAGCTTTCATATGTCTGATGCTAGGCAGTGGTAGCTACTCATAGCGCTGATCGTTATTTTTTACAAATTGTGGATGGTATGAAACCATGCCTGGTTGGCCATTGATGCTGCTGTAGATATCTGCTTAGATCAGAGACCAGGCTGTTCTCTGTCACCAGAAATGGAAGCGAATAGAAGGCTTAGAACCTGGATATGCACCTTTCGGCTTGCCTGAGCCGCATTGAATGAAGAGGAATTCTCTTGAGCTGTGTATAAAATATATAGTTAATGTATATTAATCACATAATGATGATAAAAGTTTACGAACTTGTGGAGGCATATTGCTAGCTGTCCAGGGCCTCATGTGGGCCAGGGGTCAAACACACCTGGCTTAGAGTGTCTTCCTGTGTCCTCTGAGAAGAACTAGACGTAGTAGACCGCTACATATACCTTGGCCAATGGATCTCAATGGAAGGTGATACAATAAAGGAAATTGAACGGTGTGTTAAATGTGGTTGGCAGGTATTCGGCTAGCTAAGCGTAGACCAACCTCCCCGTATGCCTGCAGATAAAAGTTTTCGATTAGTGTGTGCTACCTGCTCTAACATACCCCGGTGAAACATGGACACTAACCTCACAAACGATGCACAAGCTACGAGTGGCGCAAAAAGCCCTGGCAAGAGGCATGCTCGGCATCACAAGACAAGAGAGAAAGACACACATGGGTTAGAGAACGAACGAAAGAATAAGATGCCACCAAGGGAGAAAAGGAATGAAATGGAAATGGGCTGCTCACAGAGCAAGAAGAACCGAGAGGGCAGGTGGACCAAGGCAGTCACAGAATGGATCCCACTGGATAAAAAGTGTCCGCGAAAGAGACCTAAAACGAGATGGATTGACAACATCAGCAAGAATTGCGGGCCCAACTGGCGAAAGAAAGCTTAGGACCATCTTGGTTGGAAACATGCGGAAACATGTTTCCTGCAGTTTCCTGCAGTGGATGGACAATGGCTAAAATGGTGATGGTGAATGAAAGGGCATGCCATGTTATCTATTTTTAACTACCGGTAATTGAATAATCAGAATCTCATGATGTATTTTTATCACTTATATAGTGCTGAAGTCAGGATAAATTACTCAGCATTCTACAATCAAGGCAATTATCCGTTCAAAAGATGAATTAAGAATAGTTTGACAAGATTTGTTCTTGAAAATCCATGTTGAATTAACAAAGCACTTGGCGAGACAAATACAGGAAGTCCTCAACTTATAACCACAATTGGGACTGGAATCACAGTTGTTTAGCGAAGCGGTTGTTAAGCAAGACACCCACGAGACCACTTTTCTCAATGACTGCAGTCCTGGTTCTCCCACTTACGGTTCTTAAGTAGACATACTGGTTGTTAAGTGGATGGACCTGAAAGGAGGCAGGAGGCTCCCCTCCATGCCCGGAAGGGAACTCCTGGGTTGGGCTGGAGAGAGAAAGCTCCCATCCCAAAGATTCCAGCCTTCTTTTGAGGTGGAAGGGAAATCTTTTGGCAGCCTGCTCAGCAGCCGGCCGCCTTCCCTGTTGGTTCCCCCCATTGACCTTTTGGGGAAGCTGGCAGAAAAAGGGACTTATTTCATAAAAAATATGGTGTACTTAGACCATTTTAAAGATTTTTTTTATTTCTTTACTACTGTTACTTCATTTTCATTTTTTTTGTACAACATCCTGTGTCCTTTTGGAATTTGGCAGCATTTTTTAAAAAAAACTATTTCAGTCAGTATCCGGGAATGCCGTTCATATGATCCTGGGGTTTTAAATTCAAGTAAAGATACATTTCCCTGACCATGTTTCTGCCAAGATTAAGCTTTAATCCTGATGCTTCACAGTTTCATGGTGGAACACAGAATTTTTGTTGGAGAAGCCTGAACAAAGCATTGCTACAGCTTTTCTTTATTACCTATTAACATTTTCCTTTCTTCATTGAGCAGGTGATATGCTGGTATTTTTCCTTTCCCCATTTTATAGTTTGTTGACAAGTTACACTGGGAGCAAATGTTAAAATTGAATTCTTGACTGAAAATGGAGCAGACATTCACCCCATTGTCTGTTATTTAGAAAGAAGTTTAATGCAATGTCTTGTGAGGCAATTCATTTATGAATACGAATTTTAAAAATTTGGAAGTAAAACCTTTTTACTTTGGGTTCTTTGAAAGTAGCAGGAACAACCTCTGTGCAATTATGTCTTGCTTTAATTTTCAAAACTTTGCTAGTAATTTGATCTTTCCTAGAAGATCATTTGTGGTACAATTTGCATATAGTTATTTTTTCCCCTCCTCTTCTAGTCTTGTAAAGCCTAAACGGATATTAATTCAAGAAGCAGACCTTGAGTCAAGAAAAGCAAGATACGTCAATGCCGTCCTTAGCCATGCTAGCTCTGTCCCGTCTCTCATCGGTAAGTGCGAAGGTAAAAGGGGAGTTGTGGGTGGCGGAAACATCACTAAGGTCAAAGTGGAGGCTAGCACATTCCTGGGTTCCTGGCTACCCTTTCCACTGGGAGGAATTGGATTTGTTCCAGAAAAGACTTCCTTGCTTGCTTCCATTTTATCCAGGCTAGAGATGGGGGTCAGGTGACATGGAGGTTTGTGTGGCAATTTTTATCTAATAGAGTTCCAGAAGGAATTTTGCTTATAAAAATTCCCAGAATTCCCAGTTAAATGAATTAACTTGCAACATACATTGATATGTAAACTAAGCAACAGTCCTCATTTTACCGACCTCGGAAGGATGGAAGGCTGAGTCAACCTTGAGCCAGTCAGGACCGAACTCCTGGCAGTGAGCAGTGAGTTAGCCTGCAGTGGCTGCATTCCGACCACCGCTGCACCACCATAGCTCTACAGTCTATTGCTAGTTGTCTAAGATGTTGATTTGAGATTCTTTTTCTATGACTAGAGGATTTGACCTTTTCTTAAAGTATCCTGTTAGGCTAATTGTTTTGGTCTAACTAGTTGGTGAAAAATGGTAGCTTAGAAAATGTTGGACTGATAAAGCTTAAAATAGTGTTGGACTGCAGATTGGAGGACAAATTGGGGCAAAAATTGATTTTAAGAATCTCTCCTTTATCGTATTTTTAATCAAGCAGCACTTTGAATTTTCTTGGTCCTGAGCAAATGCAATCCCCCAAACCGCTGACTCTTCTTTTAGCGTACACTGTTATTCAACTTAAAGTAAGGGTTGTCTCTTCCTTTCTTTGGTTAGCGAAAAATAGATTCCAAAGTGTTAGTTGCAAAATCTCCCTCCTAACTGTCATGTTTTGATTCATCTGCTCTACTGAATTTCAGACCCAGTCCATGAGTTGCACATCCTGGTTGACACAGTCGCATCGGAATCCAGTTACGACCACCCAACAGACTTGACCGTAAGGTACGATGCCTCTGAGAGGACAGGCAGAACTCAGGGGCAGGCTTTTCTTGGGAAGCAGCTTTGCTGATCTCGTAGCATGTAAAAACAGGTATAATTATTTCAACTTTGAGGAACTAGAATTTACTATCTATCAGGTTGGCAAAGTATCCTTACTTACATGTACTGATATTTGGACGATAAAGACCACACTGTGGTTGAATAACAGGGAGATTTATGGATGCATATGAATTAAAGATACAAATTTTGAGCATTTTTGAGCATTTATTTCCCCGAGGTGAACAATAATTGAATAAAAGAGAAATTGGGGACAAAATTATACAACTGAAAAAGAAAAGAGTATTTTTATAATTTATAAAAGTCATTATTTTAGAAAGGTAATGTCTTGAAGCATCTATTTCACTCTAAGCATAGTCTTTTTATCTGAAAAAATCGAGGGGAGGGGAACAGTTCCTTGACTTGCTAGCTAAACACTTTTAGAAACAAGCAGCGGAATCTGACTTGCCTGAACATTCCTCTCTTTGCCTGGCGAGAGCTGAACTACGGGACAAGTAGTCCTTGACTTATGACTGTAATGGAGCTGCCCATTACAGTTGTAAGTCATGACAGTTGTAAAGCAGGTTGCCCACACGACTGACCTGATTTTACGACCCTTTTGCGGTGATTGTTAAGTAAATGTGGCAATCATTATGCAAATTCATTGTTTGCTTTGTGGTGTTTTTGCCGAAAATCAGAAGTAAAGACCGGTTTTCAGCCAAAACTTTGTAAATTGCAGCCACATGCAAACAGCCCTAAAACGTGGGCTTATTGCCAAGTGCCCAGGTTGTAAATGCCTTTTGGGGAGGGCCTGTTGTAACTTTGTACAGTCACTAAGTGAGCGGTCATAAGTCGAGCACCAGTTCTGTCAACTCATGAAGACTCAAAACGGCAAAGGAAGCCTTTGTAATGCAAAGGAATTAAAAACTCCCCTTTCCCCCAAATCCTAGCTTTGGTTTTCTGATAGTGCTTTGAATTCTGATCAACATGGCGGTGTTGAGTTTGTTAAAAGTTTGTTAAAAGTTACTCTGACACTCTTCTAATAAAAAAAAAAATACCATTTTCTTGAGGAATGTTCCCCTGTCGGTTTGGCAATGGCTGTGGCATGGAGGCTGCGGTTTTTGAGATGGGACTGGATAAAGTCAGGGAAGAGAAGGCGGCCGGCCTTAGGCCTAAAAGTGAAGAGAAGGCAGGCTAGGAAGGGGCAGCTGCAAGAGGATCCGGTCTGTAGTTTCCTTGCTCTGTCTATGGGGTCCCAGGCTGAAGAGAGCGGGCGGGGCTCCCGGTATTCGTGTGGAAAGCTTCCCCAAGGAAAAGGGAGAGGAGACTGTCTTCAGGGTTGGGGTCGCTGCTCTTTTGTCTCCCAAGTTTTGCACTGACGTTTTTTTCTTCCTTCCTTTTTTTTTTTTTTTTGTGTGTGTGTGTGTGAAATGCCTTCCCTACCTAGGAACTACAGCAAACGGAGTCACAGCAAAACTCAGAGGTTCAGTCTCAGCCAGTGGGTGGAGCGCAGCAAGCGCAACTTTGGCCGGTTTGATGGCCTTCCTGATCGCTTTGAGCGCAGCCCAACCCTCAGCTAAAAAGACCCCTTTTATTCAGAGTTGTTCTTTAAATGTTTCGGTACCAGCAGTTCAATTTGTTTAATGTGTGTGTGTTACTATTAACATGAAGGCCAGTTTAATGTATTTGTTTTTATTACAAATACTTGTTTGTTTTGTCTTAAACATTTTTCACGGCTGAATATTTTAGAAATGTTGTATTTTTACTATTCTGTTTCATATTGCACCTTGAATATGTTATAAATGTTTATTTTAAAATTCTGGGACCTCTTCTCCTTTTTCCCCTTCTACGCTTGACTATGTCCAGATTAATTGTTTACCTTCTCCGTTTTTAAAATTTGATGGAAATTCTAGGCGCTCTGACTTTGTTACACTTCGACAATGAAGAACAAAGATACCAAACATCTCACGTTCCTTCAGATACAGAACTTTTAATGGAGTCCATTCACACATTCAACTGCTAAGGTCTGAGGCTACAAGTAAATGAAGGAAGTAGCATTGGATGAATTGGAAAATTATTCACCCCTTCTTGAAATGCTCATATGTGTAGGGCAGGAGTAGGCAACCTTGGCTCTTTTATGACTCGTGGACTTCAGCTCCCAGAATTCTGGGAGTTGAAGTCCACGAGTCATAAAAGAGCCAAGGTTGCCTACCCCTGGTGTAGGGGATCATCCGGCATCATAGGCTTTAGAGGACTGCTTAAAATATAGCTTTTTCTTAGGTCATCATCCCTCTAATAACAAAAGCCAGCTATTGCAAGTGATAGGAGTTTGTCAGCCCTGCTACAGAACATTCAGAGCTTCTAATCTAATGCATCAGTGCTGCCACCTGTTGGCAACTTTTGATGGCATTACTTTTCATTCAGTCCCTGAATATGCAACGTCCACTGAAGGTTCATATTCACAGCTTCAGTTGGAGAGATGGACATTTCCATGGGACTTTCCATTGAACATTCTCCCTCTCATAGGAGAGACCCTTTCTTTTCTACTGGACTTATTAAAAGAATTTGCTGGTAGATACAACTGAACTGCAAGAGAGCAGGGCTTTCCCATTTCAGTTACTAAAACTTAACACGTGGCTTCTTAAAACATAAGATAGAAGAGAAGAGAAGTACAAACCAGTTGGAGATTGCAGATGAGTAAGAAAATTGTAGTAATTGGTTTTATTAAAGGATGGCATGCTTTTAATTGTTTTTATTATTGTCTTGCTAATGTTGGAACTCTTTGTAAACAAAGGTTGTCGTTTGGCCAGGGTTACATACATCATTTCCCACAGATTTCTCCTCTCCTGTTCAGATAGTGGATGTTTTAATCCTTTGTGGGTAAGCATCAACTTGAAAAAAATGTATGAAACAGTGTACTACAATCAATGTGGCATCAACTCTGGGAAATAATAAGTGTTCTAATTATAAGTTAAGCACAGCTAGGGTTTGATGTTTGAATGCCAAAACAGAATCACATAATGACTGGGTTCACATATCACACTGACATAAATAAATTAGAATTGTTTGGTTTTACACAAATCTCTAATTGGTAAACCAGGCAACATCATTATGGTGCAGTGTGTTGTATTCATGTTCTCTCCATGGTTGTTCTAAGTACAGTTTGCCCATCAAGAACCTGTGGATCTGCCCTTTCGAAGCAGGAACTTAAATGGGGTCTCTTTGTCCAACTGAGCACCAATGACTAACTAGCTGAAATTTGAAAATAATCCTGTTGGTAGATGTTGCTGCTAGGGTACTGTGTGAGCCAAGCAATGGATAGAAACTAATCAAGGAGAGAAGCAACCTCTAGAACTAAGGAGAAATTTCCTGACAGAACAATTAACCCAGTGGAACCGCTTGCCTCCAGAAATTGTGGGTGCTCCGTCACTGGAGGTTTTAAAGAAGACACTGGGCAGCCATTTGTCCGGAATGGTATAGGCAGGGGTCCCCAACCTGTGGGCTGAAGTCCACTACTGGGCCATGGCCTGCTGGCCACCAGGCTGCAGAACAGGCTGGACAGTGCGCACACTCACTCCCACTCACGCCAGCACTGCTGCTGCTACGTAAATGGGGCACCGTGTGGGAAAAACAGGGCAATGCTAGCGCCCATGTGGCAAAAACGGCAGTGCAAGTGTCACACGGGGACGCTAGCACCTCCCCATTTGTGTCACACATGCTTGCGGCCCCGTTTGTGTGTGTGCATGTGCATAAAATGCTTCCCCCTCCCATTCCCTCCAGTCCGCCAGCCGAGAAAGGTTGGAGACCTCTGGTGTAGGGTCTCCTGCTTGGGAAGAGGTTGGACTAGAAGACCTCCAAGGTCCCTTCCAACTTTGTTACTCTGTTCTGTTGTTCAAGCACCATTCTTGTTTTATATTTGCATAAGCAGAACAATTTTAATGTGGGATTTTGTTTATATTATGCCTAATTGGGAAATCACTCAAGGCTGAAATATTTGATTTCTCACTTGTGAAATCATTTTACCAGTTTCTGTGTATCAATTTTTTGTTGGAAGTATTCTGGGGGAGGAGAAATACCCCCATTTTGTGGGAGTATTTTTGTTGTGCGCTAAATGTCTTATCCGCTGTCCTTATAAAAACTCATTTCGTGCGGTTCGGCACAGAGCTTTCTTCAATAATGCAGAGGCCGGCTGCAAATCCCTCTCGTGTTTTGCTCTCTCCCTCCGAAACTTCCCTCCCACTTGTGTAATACACAGCTCTTCCTTTACCATTGTGTGCTCATAATGCACTCCTGTTTCTTTAAATCGGTTGCCCCAGGGAGTCCGGGGGCTGGTTTTCATAGCTCGAAAGTCCCCTCTCTGGAGCGTAGGAGTTGCTTTGGGCCAGCATTGTTTATCCCTGGTTGCCGTTCTCTAATAGCATGTACAGCTCCATTCTTGAAATGTGCAATTACAGGAGCCAGCTTCTTTCCCTTGGATGCTGGCAGGAGGCCTGTGTGAAGGCTGAGCGAGCTGCAAAGCCTTTGCCTTCCCATTTTCTCTCCCAAGGAGGCAATAAGAAGGACGGGGGGGGGGGGGGGGGGGGGGGGGGGGGGGGGGGGGGGGGGGGGGGGGGGGGGGGGAAGCCGCACCTGCTGCTAAGGGTGGGCAGAGATTTTGCAAACTCCTTTCTGTTCTTTCTCTACGCCTCTGCATGGGCTGCACGAGCCCCTGGGAACCCCGCTCCTCTTCAAGGGGGGAGGGTCCCTTTGGAGTGGGATCCTTCTTAGAGGGGCTTCAATCTTTGGAGAGGATAGAATAGATTAACAGGGGTAGTCAACCTTGGCTCTTTTATGACTCGTGGACTTCAACTCCCAGAATTCCTGAGCCAGCTGTGCTGGCTCAGGAATTCTGGGAGTTGAAGTCCACGAGTCATAAAAGAGCCAAGGTTGACTACCCCTGGAATAGAATATAGAACAGAACCCTAATTTGTGGTAAGGTTTCAAACCTGAAATGGCCTAATGAAGGGCATTCAATCAATCAGAATAGAGCTGGAAGGGACCTTGGAGGTCTTCTAGTCCAGCCCACTGTTCAAGCAGGAGACCCTACACCATTTCAGACAGGTGGCTGTCCAGTCTTTTCTTAAAAACCTCCAGGGATGAAGCACCCACAAACTTCTGAAGGCAAGCTGGATGACTTTGAGACAGCCATTCTCTCTCAGCTCTAGGAAGAAGGTAATGGCAAGCCACTTCTGAAAAACCGTGAGCATTAATTTAGGGCTACTAATTAGTTATGTTCATGGCTGAACTAAGTCATAAATGGATACAGGAACCACAACTGATGCACTAAGCCTGCCTTCCATTGATGCTCAACATAAGGCTCTTTTTGGGGGGGGGGGCTAAATGCTTGGCTCTAGGTTCCTAGAAATAGCTGAGTGGCGCATTCTTTCATGCATGGATCAAAAAGAGGGCTGAGAAAATGTGTGCAGATCCCTCACCTCCTGGATATAAACTGTTTCAACTCCTTTCCTTGGGACTCCACTATAGAGCATTGCATGCCAAAACAACCAGGCCCAAAGGCAGTCCCCCCCCCCCCAATGCCATCACTCTACTGAACACCTAATTCTCACAGTCTAAAGATATTTTACCCATGTAGTAGGGCTGTATTACTGTTGTCTTCTCATCTTTCCTACTACCTTCTACTATTGGGTTATATTACTTTGTTGTTTGTATTTATAGGTAGTCCTTAACAATTGCAGTGATTCATTTAACAGCTCAAGAAAAGTCTTAAAATATGGCAAAATTCACAACAAATGTTTCACTTAGCCACATAAATTTTAGCTCAATTGTGGCCGTAAGTTGAGGATTCTCTACACTGAGAGCTTATGCACCCGAGACAAATTCTGTGTGTGTTCAATCACACATGGCCAATTAAGTATTCTATTCTGTTCTCTTCTGTTCTCTTTTCTGTTCTTTATTCTATTCTATATTTTCTGCCCTTCCAAAACTAAATGAAGCCAGCTAAGTGCAATCTGAATCTGCCCTCTTGGGTCTCTCGGTTGTTGCTTGTCCATAGTTGAGGTGTGAGAGAGAGAGGATATTGTTGTAGCCTAACAGAAACGATGCCAAGCTTCCAAGGAAATGCCCCATTTGACATGCAGCTAACCCTGTAGATGGGTTCACATGTTCATCACTGACATTAATTTCTTTCCCCACCTGACCTGCTAGTTGAAACGGTACAATCCCAAGAACTCCATCATACATGCCACATGTGAAAAAGGGCACAAAAGTAGCACTTTGACGCATATTATTAATTCAGGCATAGGTTTCAGAAGTTTTGCTAAGAACAATTCCTTCCCCTAGAGTTCCTGCATTTAAACCCTGCTGTGGCATGCTTTCCTAAGGCCAGCTTGGGGATAATAACTGATACATATTTCCATTCAAATGAGATCTCCCTTTCAATGTATTTTTTAAAATACAGTTTATTGCTTAAATTGTTATCACAGGTAACAGCTATGTCCCAAGCCAAACAACTTGTTCTGAGCCTCCTTTCTGGAGAGTGCTGAACATTGTGGAGTCGGACCTTATCTTGCAAATGGCCGTGATGAGTTGCCCCATCACTGCTGGTGCCTTGTTTGGAATTTGATGCAGGACCTCATTTCAAAGGGGACTTAACAATAGCCTTCCTCGATCTGGTGCTCTCCAGGCTTCTTGGAATTGCATCTCAGAAGGGCCCTCCAACGTGGCCGGCATAGGAACATGAGGGAAACTCTGTGTCTCAAGCTTGACCTGCTACTTTAGTTACCTACAAAGGTGATGCTGCTTTGAAGAGGCTCATTAGGACCCTCTGGGTGTAACTCCCGTAGCCGAAAGCGAGCCAAGACAGAGACTGGGCGTTTGGAAGAAGAAGTGCTGTCATGAGAGTTTCATTATGAAGATATTTGACGTGGTATCGTGAAGTCGTCTCTCTTGATGCTATCTAGCACTAGAAGCTCTTCTGTGTGGTGTATCAAAGCAATTTAGTTGGGGAAATCCATATAAGAAACTTAAAGGGAAGGTCAGA